ATAAAACATCATTGATTTTGTCGCCCAGCCTCTACATGTATAGCTTTCGACCAGCTAGAAGACAGGTCTCAGTGCTTTTTTCTTCAAGCTTAGACTCAGCAATGCATGGTGAGGTAAGACATTATATACTGGGGATTATCATTCAGGACTCTCTTACGTGGACACAGTGAGAAGCTGTGCTGCAAATAATTAAAAGTCGCGATTCGACGGTCCAAGAGCTTGTTGCTCAATCATTGCGGAATTGAATTAAGTTGACACTCACTTTAAAAAGGAATAATTTTAGCAGGACATTCTGAAAACGCACACCATGGGGCGAATAATTGGCAGCAATTAATGCCTGTCAACGTAAAAACTGAGTATATAGCACCATACCAATCTGACGGAAATAACGATGCCCGTACTTATATAACCAAATGAGTAAGATCACGTCTGATTCAGTTGATCACATATTCTGCCCATTCAGGGCGATCAGAAACAATCGCGTTACCAGATGGATGGATAGCTCATAAGTTAACGGTACAAGCTGCGCAGCTGCACACAGTGCTAGTGTTGCTGTTGTCCGGTGAGCAATATGCTGATAGTTCTGTTCATTTTTCAGCCGACGAGCAGAGTGCATTTAAATGAGAAACACTTAAAACCCGCAAACCGATCTGCGCTTCTCATCTCTGACCAGTATGAGTTACGGCCTCATGCTTCTTGTTCGAACTATTTGTTAGTTGTGGCCTTTGGCCTCTTGTTCCAACTGTGGGCTAATAATCTGTCGTCCCAATGTCACTTTCTTCTCACACGGCTCCATTTGTCTCCAATTTGCGTGCTTTTCTCTGCTCAGCCGAGAAATACGCTCCTTGAAATATATATGTAGGTAAGAAGTTTCTGGCCACTTCGACGCCCGTCCAGTCAGATAGTGAGCCGCCACAACGGGTGGGTGTACCACAGGGCAGCGTTGCAGGACCGCTGCTTTGTTGCTCACAGGATGGGCGGCGGCAGACGCCGATGTGCTGGGGGGGGGGGAGGGAGGAGAGAGAGGGAGTGAGGGGAGAGGGGGAGGAGCAGACGGTGACCAGTGCATGTGAAGGCGAGCGGACCCGGCAGCTCCAACAGTAGAAGCGCGGCATTGTTTGGCTTCCGGTGGACGCGGCAGCGCGGTCGAATTCGTGCACCTAGCGCGAAATATGGCGACTAGGATTCACCGGTGAGGCTTGCAGGCTGCTTAGTGGTTAGTCTCGTGAATCGCTTCATTCACTTCTTGTAACATTCGAAGGTAAATGAAGCAAAGACCTTTCGTAAGTCAATACTCCAAGTCGTTATAAAATCGCTAATCGTAAATCCGTAGTTAAGTCGGTAAATCGTTAGTAAAGTTAAAATTGGATACATGCTAGAATGGACATCTGGAGAGTAGCCTCTGTGTGATGTCTTAACTTTGTTAGGTCATTAAGCTCATTAAGTATCTACGCGTTCAAATCAAGCCTATTCTCCATATCAACCTCCCACGAGAGAAGGCCGCCGCCGCAGCCGCCCAGGGCACGTGTAGCTCAACACACGTGCGCAAAGCAAATAAACTATACGCACGCTCTGCAGCGACAGAGCGCGATTGACCTCGCGCTCTCACTCCGGGAGTTGACCCCTCCCCCTCCTCTCTCTCTCTCTCTCTCTCTCTCTCTCTCTCTCTCTCTCTCTCTCTCTCTCTCTCTCTCTCTCTCTCTCTCTCTCTCTCTCTCTCTCTCTCTCTCTCTCTCTCTCTCTCTCTCTCTCTCTCTCTCTCTCTCTCTCTCTCCCTCTCTCTCTCTCTGTCTATCTCTCTCCCTCTCTCTCTCTCTCTCTCTCTCTCTCTCTCTCTCTCTCTCTCTCTCTCTCTCTCTCTCTCTCTCCCTTGCCCTCTCTCGGGTCTGTTTTTATCGGAGCAATCGGGGTTGAAACCAGGTCATTCGAGGTGATGCATTCTTTCAACATTCTCACAGTTTTCTTTTGTTGTGCTGAATCCAGCCTTGAAGATGTAGTAATTATAGGTACTTAAGTTACGCAGGTTTTCAAGGACAAAATCAGTCAGTTATTGTCGTGACGCCTTTTTAATATCACCTAAAATGTCTTTATATGCTGCCTCTTGAGTTGCAGAGTCGAAAGATTTCGGTGACTCCGACTCCGGTCTCCAAAATCGCTCCAAATCCGACTCCTGTCAGGACTGTCTACTCCGACCGACTCCGACCTACTCTGACTTCGACTCCTACTCCGACTCCGCAGCTCTATAGTTGCCCCAATAAACCCCACACCCAATCCAGGAGTGGGTGTTTGGAGTGGGTGTTTCTCACCTCTAAATAACGACTCTCCTCTTCAGGTCTCGTGCGCCCCTTGGTCTCCCAGTACAACTCCGGGCATGAAAACTGGGTGGGGAAGGGAGAGACGCCGGGACACCTTTTTACTCGAGTTTACAAATGAGTAGCCAATCCAACGATAATCTACAAACCGTGCTAACAATCCACCAATCTCACTGATCGATCAATAAAGCAAGTAGCAACTCAAAAACATCGCGACCTCAGTGCCTACGGAGACTGATCGGCGAGCTTTCCCAAGATTTCACCGAATCGAAGCTCAATCGATCGAGTATTTGCAATATGCAACTCATGCAGAATCGTGCAATCGTTCGACGGAGTGAGAGGAATTCCCCTGTAGCCACCAGCATCGGAAAACCCAACGGAAAGTACGCGTTTGGAAACGCGCTTCTTGATGCACGCTGCAGCGCGATTCGATTACGACGGTTCGTGAATTGCAAGATCCAACGCCAATCTGAATCTCTACTTTCCTGGCATTGATGCCACAAGTGAGTCAACCAACTGCACAAAATTTAACGGTATAAGATGCCAGATGCCAATCATGCTTACAAAATAAAATGACAAAACAAACGCCCCTTACGTGACCACATAGAAACGCACCCGACCAACCACAAGCAAAGCTCACTCAACAACGCCCTCCCTAGGCTACTCACCATCAGTCGTGACCTCCTGTGACCTCGCTGTGGCCTCCGGTCCTTCGGTGATCTATCCTGGTCCTTGTTGCTCGCGCGGCGACCCCGCGAACCCCAACACACTCCGCGCGCGCCTCTTGAATGAGCGCGCGCTGTGCGGCGCAGCGGCGCGCCGGCCGGCGTCTGGCTAGTTGACTGACTGCCCGCTAGGTGGCAGGCCAAGTCGGGTGGCCGGAAAGGCCGAAGCTTTCGACGGAGCGGACAGGGGACGGGTCGAGTTGTAGGGGCGGGCGGGCACGCGGGATGGGAGCTTTCTGGGGGTGGGAGGCGTACTGCCGTGGCCAAAGCGCATGTGCCAAAATACTTAACGACAGCATTGGATTCAGGGACCGACACCTCACAGACCCATGGACCCTGAGTCCCAGGGGACTCGGTAAGGCCCTGCACACTGCACACTGCACAGGCTAGAAAGGACAATAGAATCCTTCGAGGTCTCGAGGGAGCTGTCAGCCTCTGAAGGCCCCAGCAGCATTTGCGATTCTTACACCAGCGCTTCTGAATGCACCAGTACCTACACCGCCCTCCGCGGCTTCCAAGGGTCCCCTGGTAGACATCTCACGGCCCACGCTGGACTCAAAGAGCCTCGCACATAGGCGCGGGAGCCGGGGGGCAGTGGGGGCAGCTTGCCCCCCAACTCTGGGGCTGTGGGGCAGTGCCCCCACAGCTTTGAGACGGAATACCACACTTTTTTTGCAAATGTTTTCTTTTTTTGTTGAAAAAGCCGAGGGGTGAAAAATAAGTGGCCTAAAACCGGTAAGAAAACTAGATTTGGGGGTACCCTAGGTTAATCTCTATTATGGTGTGCCCCCCCCCCCCCAGTCGGAAAGTAGTTCCCGCGCCCCTGGCCTCGCGGCTCGCACTGTCGTACTTAGTATGCTGGTCAATATCGGTATCTATCTAAGCTCATTATAAGGCCAAATGTGGTAATTCAATTCACAGTCTCTAGACAATTGTTCAAACCATTCAGAAAAGCAAGCGGAAGGACGGACCTGTTCCGAGAAAAAAAGAGATTGACCGTCATTCTCTCATCGTTTCTACAATATCTATTGTTTTCGAGGTTACATACGGGACCTAGCACCGACAGTGCTGGGAGAATTACTCCTGGGCGTCAGAGTTTTCTCGTTTAAAAAGATCTGATCAATAGGTACTCAGTTGTACTTCGACGCATTTTGTCACCCTTAAATCAGCGAAAGTGTCAAACCAATCGGTCACTCAACGTGACTGAGTGATCACACCACCGACCAGGATATGTAACAGTTCGCATCTGATAAAAAAAAACTAGGGAGAGGGCACAAAATATCTCGCTATCTATTATCTACCTATCTATCAAAATATCCCAAGATGTATATGAGGGCGCGGAGTCGTTCCTTGATCAGTGCACGGACTACGGAGCCCATAGATATACAGACATACAGACGGAGCCGCTATCGGCTATACCAGCCATACGCGGGAGCGTGTACGGCGGTACAGTCTACACGCAGGCGCTGTACCGTAGTGTCATCTAGCGGCAGTTTTGACAACTAACCTGAGAAACCACCGGGGGTGCGCTGCATGGCAAATGTTCGTGTCAGCGGTACATTTTTGGGTTGTAACTTGTAACCGTCTCGTATGCTATTGAATGACTGCAGACTGGTTTTGATTTTCCATTCAAACACACCTCGTTTCTAACGGGTGTTTAAGCTTGCCTTATGGCTTGCATCTCTCCGTTCCTTCGCGCTATGCTCGGTCTGAGTAAACCATTTCCATCAGCCGTTCACTGCGCCTTCTGTTCATAAACATTCCATTGTTCGAGACAGCTTTGAACAATCTATGAAAATACTCATGACTGCCTGAATCGAACAAGATAGCAATGTGGATGGCGCACAATCGACAACCCTCAGTCACATAAAGACAACCAAGTCCAAGAGATCGACGCATACATAACGTACATATTCGGAGGCCAAACGCTCTTCCAAAATCTTCACCGAAATAAATTCAAAAATATATCAATGGTATATTTGTATTAATACCCAATATAACGTGCCCAAAAGCTCTATTCGGGAAACGAGTGCATAAGTGACAAATCATATGCTACATAACCGGTTAGATATTGCGTAATTAACAAACTGAAGATTGCACCTTATGTTACGAGTAAATATGAACATCTCAACACATAAAATGATCACCATTAACAAGACATATGACATTTTCGACACTGAAATTGGTTAATAGTTGAGCTACACAGGATACAAACTGAACAAAATCAAACCTCTTTCGTGTTCAATCAATACCAAACGCACTATAATAAAATCGAACAGGCTAGTTAGTAAAAAACAGAGGCATTGATCAAACCAATATTTTCATCTCGAATACATATTTGGTGCGCCAACACTGCAATCTCAAGCATAATCTTTTTTTCTGCAGGGACTAGGTTTTGTTATCACACGTGATCACTATTTGAAGAAACAAAATTTAATGTTTGATGCTCGTAACATAAACATTCACTTCACGAAACTTTTCCAATAGGCACGGGCGCTTCCAAAGGGTAATATAATTGGGATGCGATGATTTTGCTGAAAGCTGAGGTGTTTTACAGGGTTATTCACCATTTAGCGTCGTTTGAAACATCTCGTTCATTATCCCGCATAAGCAAACCACAGGGCACAGGTGGACCTATTTCACACACAGCAAACGACACACAAACACACCATAGAATCTCACACTGCGTAACAAACGAACAAGCAAAGAAATAATTCGACAGCGCAGTCGTTGTGCTAAGGTGCCACCCAACAAGCCCAATGGTGTCAATATACATCCACCAAAACTGTGTACCACAAACAACACACAAACAAACCTATACACACACAACTCGCGATTGAAAGAGAAAAATCAAGACCGACAACTTCTGTCAGTCTGTTCATCTAAAGTGACGAAAGAATAAATGGCATCTTTGCAACAGATGTCCTCTGACACAGATAACAGTAGTACTGGATTGGAAACAGAATATTGGCAGTTGCAGTAAGAGGCCGAATGTTTTTATGCGACGGCGCCAAAATGGGATTCTCGCGTGCTGCTGGGTGGATAATTTGTGTGCTGTGTATTGCAAGAAATCGTCATTTTTGTGTTTTGTCGTTTACATTTAAAATCGAAGCTACCAATGTTACTTTCATTTGCTTAAAAAATTAAAGTATTTCACTTTTAATTTGATTATTTAGAGGGCACAATGCGTGGTGTTTTCTTTTAAAAACAAAGCGTGGAGCAAAGCCTTACATACGTATAGGTACATCAACAATGAATGAGGGGAATGAGCGGTAAAAAAACTGCCGTTCTGGCTACAACCCAACGAACCAAGAGGGACAAAAGATTAAAACAGGAGATGTCTCACATGCCACCTATTCGCTTTTCTCACCGAAACATCTCTACGGGCTCAGTGGGTTGGCGCCATGGGTCACCGTGACCGGGCTGAGTGAAATCAGGACTATTCCGCTGCATGTGTGAGCTGCATTTCAGAAAGGAAGATTTCGAAGATGATCGGTCATTTCGCACCGGCATGCAGAGACAGCGCCGTCGGCTCAAGAGCGGCGCAGTCCTGTCAGTATTGACCAGCGTGGATTACGCGATGCCCCCTGTGCACGAGCGGCCAGCGAAACTAGCCATGGCATCCGCATGCCACTCACACCAGAAGCAGGTTATGAAGGACCAGACCGATGCGTTCTTCACGAATGACAATGTCAGCTATCAGGTGGCAACTACAACTGGTCGAGTGTCCGACAGTTCCTGGAGAATGAGGCGGTACTCCGAAGTCGAACTAGGGCCTCAGATGGTGGTCACTAGTCACGTTTCAGCCCCGCCGACGCCTCCGCCCGAATGGCACCATCAGCATCACAGCAGGAGTGACAGCAGGATGGTGCTCTTGTCATCCAGGAGCCAGTGGCCGCGGTGGCGAAATTCACTGAAATGGAGGAACTGGATGACAGCGCCAAGGCCTCCCTGGGACACAGCTCTGGCGCCTTGGCACGCTCGGCCACCAGGCGTAACAAGTACGGTGCCTCCGCCAGCCTGCTTATCTATCTTGGGGATACGCCACTGGAGGTACGACTGGAGAAAGACGAGGAAGACATCGACCTCATCGTGAGGATCTGCCATATTTGGAGGCAACTGCCGAAGACGGAAGCTAACAGGAACCAGCTGCTGGTCTGCGATCAACCAAGAAGGGGCGAAGATAGTCGTAAACCGGGATGTCGAACTGATCGGAAGTCGTTTGCAATGATAGCCACGACGTCCTTAGGAGCCTCCTTCCAGAGATGTATGCGACGGTTTTCAATCTATTTGCTGGAAAGTGTGGAAACATGGTAACTGATAAGTGAGGCAGACACTCAAGACAGTGCTGTCCATCGAAAGTCAGGAAGCAGACACCCCAGCGGCAATCGGATTGCACCCCAGGTGCAACCCGATCGAGGAGCGACAAGAGGCCAAAGCTCAGCAGGGTCAAGAAGACGTAAGGCGGGGAAGTAAGGTCGCTGATGAAAATGGGAGGGCAGGCGAAGCGAAGTGACGTTTTGTGACGTTGGTTTGAATTGTGACGTTGGGATGGTTCGTTGTGACAGGACTGGTGTCGATTAGCATGTAAATAAAAAGATCAAACTCCCATGTACAAGTACTTTTTGTGGATGAGAGTGGGAAATCATTAAAATAAATCAGTGGCATACGTTCCCTCACCACGGCGAGGAAAGTGTAACCAGCAACGTTTAGTAAAATAAGTTGCCATTATGCAAAAATGCAGCAATAAACACGAGCACGGCTAGATTGCTTCTTTATAAGTTTCATTCACATAAATCTTTTTTTTGCCTGTGTGAGAAGATATCGAAGTCTGGGCACGAAATATTCGGTTCTGTTTTCGGCCTCTTACTGTTATCTGTGCCTCTGATCGTTACCACAAACATAATCAACAGAACAAGGATCATGAGCAATTCGCTGGCTCAACGGTCCATCAACATTGACAGTCCAAAAGGCTATCGTTCTGCCCTCGTGGCGCAAATTTTCGCCATACCTCTGAGAAAGTCGCGACATATTAAACTGAAAACGTGGCCCAGGCTGATGAACAAATAAACGGAAGGCACAGAAACTTATAAATACAGCATTATAAATATCACAAGTAATCTTCTGACTTTTCGAAGCGATATTTCGATACCAACAGAGCGTTACAGTCCTACATTACCGAACACGAGGCTATAGGCTAAGGCAGTGCACCAACACAGCAAACATAGCTCCCGCAGCTGGCTCTTCATTGACAGCAAGCTCTACCGCACAAGCTTCAACCACCCCTGGCCTGTCGAGACGCCGCCCCGAAATTATTCGATATTCTAGCTTTTCAGTTTGAATCGGTAATTTGAATCAGCAAAAAAAAAAATGAAAAGATAAGACAGCCAAGACTAACGAGAGGTATCAACGAAACGTGTAACACTGTGACTACAAAAAAATAATTATTTTACGGAGCATATCTTGTCTATACGTAGAATGTCATTCCAACAGTAACAAACCATAACGTAGCCTTTTCAACGCAAGAAAGACCAATGCGTTGACGAATGACTGAGTAAAGGCAACATTTTTTCATGTTACAAGAAACCCCGAGATTTTCCTTCATCGGTATCACATTTGTAACCGCCCGCAAGCCTTGCATCTGCTTTAGCGTAAATATTTCAGCGGGGCGATCCTTTACCTACAGTGATTATCACCTAGCTGTACGCCCTATCGTCTTAGTAATCTCCTCGAACAGTTAACTCATTCATCAAATCTTACTGCTTACTGACCCACATTGCCATCTCTTCCTCACCAATCCCTTCAAACATGTTCAATCTCAACCAGCTGCTGCTACGTCCCACTTGTCACCAAGCTCTTCAGCATGTCTTCCCACCTCCTTCACATCACATCATCCCACAACGTCTTCCACTAGGCATCCAGCTTAGCCAGCTCGTCCTTGTAGACTCGGACACTCTCGTCGTCATAGAGCACGAAGTAGACGTCCTTCAGGGAGGAGGCCATGACGTTCACGAAGTAGTCGTGAATGGCCTTCAGGATGATACGCGCGGCGTCCGACTTCTCCAGACCTCCTCTGTAGGATGAAATAGATGGTGGGTTACATCATAGACGAGCGGTATTTTGAGTGGATGGTGCAGTAATCATTTGTTTCGGTATTTGAAAGCGTGCATCTCCGATATTGCATATGTGTTGCGATAGTGTTGTGTTGTTACCGTAGATAGTATGCTACCAATAAATAAGTAGTAGGGCGTCTTACCGATGTTAACGGTTGCTGAACGTATCCTACACAGACACCAGCAAATATTTGCTACTAGAATTGTTTTTATTTATGTAAAACAGAAAAGTTCATATTCACTGAGGATTGGCAGAAACTTTTGGCTGCAAGGCGGATTAAACCTCGTCATATAGTAACTGGGAACTGGGACAATGACAGCACCCGAGTTCATCACTTGGTCGTCACTTTTCCCAAGCCTACTAGCGCTCTCTACTCCATCTTACCTGCCACTGCCGATAGATGGCAGCGCGATCGAGGCCAAGTTCTTCTGGTCTGCCACCGCCAGACAGTTCTTTACAGACTTGGCCAGCTTGTCCTCCACGTTCGTATCCGCTGAAGGGGGGACCGGAGAGCGTGAAAACGCGGCTTTATCTCACTTGAGGTCAGCTAACAAGGATAGCCGAGAGGCCAGCTCGGTCAAAAGACTTACCGACGAGCAATCTCGTCCCGTCGCGAAGGTAGTGGTAACACCCGTCCGTCGTTTCCATCCTCAGGATAATCAAATTTTCTCCTCCACGCCTGAACCCCTTTCCAGGCTGGACGAACAACTTTATCCCATGCGGGAAGCTCCGTCCCAGGAGCAGGCTCGAAGCCGGGTGTGGCGAGTGTCAGGGGGCTGGGTGGTCTGTCTGTCCTCGTGATGGGCTCAGTCCCGACATGTCTACAGTGTGCCCACCCAGACCAATGTCTCCCCCTAATTCATATCATCCTCCCGGCTCTGAAATGGTCTCGTCAGACCGAAAGAACCAAACCCAACAAAACAAACAAAACAAACAAAAACCAAAGCAGTGGTATGTGCCGACAGGGTAGTCTCCAGGTGAAAAGCGAGGTAAGTGAAAATAAGCAAACAAACTTTTACAGGTCACATCGATGCCGCTGTTTATTATGATAGTGGAATCACTTTAATTAACGTTACATGAGATCAAGATATGCGTGAAAACAGCAATGCTCCCGCGGGTGCCGGGGCCTGATCCCTGATGTCCCTCAACTCACAGTGTGTGGGCCCGTTCACGTGTATGATCCAGTCGGCGGGCACGTGACTGGTCGGAGACAGCGTGGCTGTAACATAGGCACAGTCACGTGATCAGACAACGCTAGAAGGAACAGGGTTATTGACTGTCGAAACGGCAGGGAATTCAAATGCAATTCCTTGCACCTGTACATGATGAACAATGGCATCACATGAACGATGGTGCAGGCAACATTATGATCAATGACATGAAAAAGGTGCATGTCTTAGTTCGTGCCTCTCAGTCTAACCTAGCCTGGATTTAAATGAAAAATAGCCTGATAAATAAAGTCAGTTACAGCTATGCTATCCATTCCCTTGCAAATGTAAATTTATGAATTAACCTAGCATTTTCCCTGACAGAGAACCTGCACACCTTTCGCCCAACCAGCTCTATCCCTCCTACCTCCTCTGCTACTCCCCCCCTCTCTCTCTCTCTCTCTCTCTCTCCTCCCCCTCTCACCTCCACAGGGCGCCAGCGGGCCATGATTCTTCATCAGCTCATCCAGCGCCTTCTTCAGCTGGAACCCCTCGGCGGCCTCCAGAGCAGCCCCCACCTGACCCGCCAGGGGGAACTTGGAACCGGTCGGGTGGACCACCGCCTGCACATTGGCCGCGGCGATGTCCCCCTGGACCACGTGTAGCTGACGGGGGGAGGGAGGGGTCAGGCACGATCAACGGTGGTCTTGTAGGGCAACACTATCTATTGACGATGAAAGGTAGAATGAAACGTTTCCGCAACATTAACTATAAAGACGTTAAAATATACAACTAAAGAATACGTTACGGAACCAGGTTATCGTAGCATTTCAAATCAAGCAATAACTATTTGTAAAGATCTAAATGCAGGTTACTTTTATTATGAAAACATAAGCCAAAAGAAAAGAAAAAAAAGAAGAAAAATATCGAAGATATTCGCACAAGAAGACCTGAGGAATAGACAGACATGTGAACTCAAGATGTTTGCATACTTTGCAAGTAACAGCACGGTAGTTTCGGTAGTTAAACCGCCAAAATAGCCCGTGTTTGATGTGCATACCGTTTGTCCAAGGAAGAGCTTCTTCTTGTACAGCGGATTCAGACTGGCGTTGGCCTTTGCTCCTTTTCCAGAAGCTGCGTAATGACATGGAGAGAAATGAATCAGGATTGAACATAACTACGAAATATCCGACCTCCACGCAAAGTAAGCATGCCTACATATTAAATCTTTTTATAGATAAATTTAACCCTGCCCAGAAATCCTCTACGATAGCGATTTCAGTTTAAATATCACTTCAGTCCCTGCAGAGTACTTAGCAAGCCTGAAACAACACGTCTCTTTCTCTCTCCTAATTACTCTCCCCCTCTCCCTCCCTCCCTCCCTTCCTCTCCCACCAACGCCACCAATACACCAATTAAATACCCTTCCCAGCCTCTACCCTCTCCCACACTAGCTGACTTCACCGACTGACCTTTTTTGGGTCGCGGTGTGGGCGCCACCACGCCGACCTTTTTCTGCGCCGGGGTCACCACTGAGGACGCCGAATACTGCGGGGGCACCGCTGTCGTCGATGACGCTGTGTAGGTCAGAGGTCAGAGGTCAAGGTCAGTAAACAAGGGCCAAGATAGGAAGAAAGGGTCATCGCACAGGGTCAAGGTCATTACGTAAGGAAAAATGACGCATTTGCGTGATGAAAATGCCTCTCTTATTTTGCTTGATCGTTTCATGGGTTAGTACCTCGTTGATGGTGTGATAACCGAGCTGAATTCAACAAAGGCCTGTGCATGTAGACTAGCATCAGAGATTAGATTCAGAAGTAAGCAAGAAAAGCAAGAAAACGGCGACTGATGAAAATCTGGTACTCTAGCTACAAATCAATCAACGTCATTCTGAAATCGCCAGTCATCTGATCAAACTGCCCTCTGAAATTCCTTCATCTGACAGAGATTTATTCGATATACTAACCATTCGGGTCTCCCTTCTTCATCAGAAGAAGGGGATGGACCCGGGGCAGTACACCTCCCTGAGGTATCGTAACGCCACGCAAGAACTGAAACAAAACATGATGTTAAATAAAATATATCATTAACATTGTAGCATACCATGTCCATCGTCCACGTACACTGCACTGTGTAGTCTTTTGTCGTTTTTTCACCTACAGTAGTTTTCCGTTTTTCCATCTATCGTATCCAGTTTTCCGTGTTTTTTTTTTCTCACGTTCCAAGTGCAACTTTTGTCACTTATGCCACTTATGCTGCGTATAATTTTTAGTCGTTTGTGACATCCTACCCTGCTCAGTTTTAGTCGTGACCCACCGTGTGAAGCTCCTCGTCATTGGCAATGGCCAGCAGTAGATGTCGCGGTGTGATCCGGCTCTTCTTGTTGTCCCGGGCAGCATTACCGGCCAGCTCCAAAAGTTCGGCTGGGGACAGAGAGATTGTGCCTGGTTAATGGTGTGAGGACGAGGAAATATAGCGAGGGGGATGAGGCATGGGCGGGATACGAGCCACCGCTTTTTAAAACGAAACATTGTCATTGGCCCGAGGAAGATACAAAAATGACACTTCGATGCCTGAAATTACCAAACTTCTCAGCTGAGGCGATCCCCGTTCCCCTGTCTCTCTTGTTAACTATCGCTATTGATTCTTACTGAAGGCATGGATCTCTCCCAAAGACCTTTATAAGGTCCCCAAGACCAACACCTGAGGCACCCTATGACAATATGACATATCTCCAGTGTAGCACCCCCAGTCCCCACCCTTCCTTCCATAACCTACCGCTGAGATATTCCATGACTGCCGCAGTGTAGATGGGAGCTCCCACGGCCACCCGTCGTAGTCGCATCTCGCTGCTCTTCATATACCGATGAATACGACCCACGGGAAACTGAAGTCCCGCGCGGGCGGAGCGCGACGCCGGGCGCCGACGCTTCTTTCCCGTGCGGCTGGTACTCATGGCTGGTGGGGTTTGGTGAGCGAGGCAGTCTGTAAATGGGGAGAGAAGGGGAGGGTAAGAAAGAGGGAGAGAGAGAGAGAGAGAGAGAGAGAGAGAGAGAGAGAGAGAGAGAGAGAGAGAGAGAGAGAGAGAGAGAGAGAGTCAATTAATATTTTATTTTGTAACTAGGGAGGCGAGTCCAGTGGTCTAGCTTGTGTAATGTGCTCTGGGATGCTGCATCAAGTATTCTGGTTGGTAGTGGGAACTTACCAAGTCTGTATTTACCTACACATCTTTACAAGGAAAAGAGTGAATGATCTGATCTAGATGCACAGGAGAACAGGAACTGTAACTGGTGGTGGCAGGGGAGAAAAAGGGTGTCCTGACATACTCTAACCTGAAGGCAGAAGATCTCAAGCAGAAGATCAGAAGATGAGCCTCAGATTTATGTCTGCAATGGATTATCTAGATGAAATTCTGGAGCAAACTACAGAAACATGCAAAACTGAAGGTAAATGAGCTTCCATTTTTGCACAACACTTGAGTGCAATTATTTTACAGGCATTACAAAATGATGCTTTAGCCTATAATTTAAGCTGATCCCTGCTTACTTTCATCCCATGAAGTTATCACAATAGCTAAATTAGCTGGTCAGTGGTTGAGTCTACACGAGGGGGCAGGGTCAGACAAGTGCAATTTTTGCGTCTTGGTGGGGCTAGGGGCACTTGGACATTCCCTCTGAAATCAGGATTAAAGGATGGCAAGTCAAACTCAGACATACATGGCCTAGTTAGCAGTTGAAAATGAAATTAATTTTTGCAGATTGCGGAAACCTTGCCAAGATAAATATGATCTCCTTGCAATGTCATGTGGTGCATCCTGATATTACTCAACTGGTTCAAGTGCTGTTACTGCAACACAAACTGAAACACCAAAGAAAACTGCATCATCATTCGTTATTCATAAGAGAAAGCAAGCAACACTTTTGATTTAACGGTCACTGAGGAAGGCCGGTTCTTCACGGTTCCCTCACACTTTACTTACCTACCAGCTACCTCCTTTCTTACAAAATCCCCTGGAGATTGCGTTGGCGCGACCCGGGCGAACAACGAGTGCCGACGTGCCGCAGAGCTGGCGGACGAGGAAGGGGGCCTGGCGGGGCCGGGGAGGGGAGATCGAATCGAGGGGTCGGGTCCGTCGGGTCACTTGTCGCCTCGGGGAGGGGGGCGGGTCATCTTTATAACCGTAACCACAAAAGCAGTGTTCCATGCTGTTATGCGGGCAGCTGCTCACGTAAGAAGTTGATGATGATTTTACATTATGAGGAGATTTTTTTGTGAAAAATGTTTCAAAAATTACAAGATCTGTTTTGCAGCAGAATGTATGCAATTTAAAGGCAAATTTTTTGGTGAAAAAAGCTTGCAATGTCACATGGTCAAAACGCACCTCCCAAGCATAATATTTTCTTTTATGCGCAACCTATAATAAATGACGTCTATGGAGCTTACAGAACAAATAAAAATTTCAACAATCAAATGCTTTGAAAAATGTTTAACAGCCTTCTCACCTCATAATCTACAACAAAAACCGTTACATCGGGTCTTATAGATAAATTTTAGGCAAATGTTTCCCCGTTTTAGGCGTGTGAAACAAAAGATTTCAGTCGTAGCTTATGACGTAATATATTTAAGAACCAGCCACGCTGAGAGTGGTTTCGATGGGTTTCGAGGACGCTGCGTTAGCGTATTTGGCGTACTTGATGTGAGAGTGCGAATGATTTGATTATTGGGGATTGGGATTGCGGTTGTTCACTAATTAAATTTGAAACAGTGGTTAGTGGGGAAAGCGAAATTTTTATTGAACAATTTATTGAACCAGTCACCCTGGTTGGAGTGGTTTTGAGGTCGATCTGTCAACGTATGCCAGTGCGTTTTTAATCTTTCACTTCAACTTGACCTTTTTTCAATTATGATGGCTCACTAAAGAAAATTGAAATGGAAAATGATATGATATGACTTGCAGCTAAATCAGCCTGAAATATAAAATCAGTGCTCATTGGCATGGTCCATAACCCAGCACAATTGATAAATTGATATTGAACCACCATCACCATGGTGATTGCCCGACCACCTTTTTCGCAGATGATGGATTCTCAGAAGTTTTGCCTCAAGTGGGATGGGTTCCAGAGCAGCGTCACCTCCGTGTTTGACCACCTGCGGCGGGACGGTGAGCTGGTGGACATCACTCTTTGCTGCGAGGGACAGCGTGTCAAGGCGCACAGGATGATGCTGTCGGCCTGCAGCCCTTACTTCAGGGAGCTGCTCAAGGTGAGATTATTGCAGCTGCTTTTTCTTAAATTTGGGTTTTTTATTTTGTTTTTTTACTTCCTGAAGACACAGGTGTTTGTAGAAGTGAGAAGCCCAGAACAATGATAGGTATAGGTGGAGGTCAGGAAGGTGATGAGCTGTATGAGGATCCATCTTAAACTCATACATAGGATAGAAGTGCTAGCATTGCCTCAACAATCCTGCATGGATTTAAATAATTAGTCTATATACATAATCAAAGAACACACTTTTCAATTGATGAAGCAGAAGATCAGTGTTACTCACCTCACTTCACTTCTACACTTTAATAATCAGTGTAAATAGGATAGATTCAACAACACTAATGACCTGCGCCTTTTTCAGGACAACCCCTGCCAACAAATGGTGTTCTTCCTGAAGGATACAAGCGCGGAGGACCTGTCTGCCATCATTGAGTTCATGTATAAGGGCAGCGTGAACGTCAGTCAGACGCAGCTGGCCAGCTTCATCAGGACGGCAGAGATGCTGCAGATTAAAGGACTCAGTGGAGATGAGGAAAAGGTAAAAACTGAACTCCTCTTCATGTGTATAGTTGGACTGTAAAATCTCTTTAATTTCCCTTTTTCTAGCTATACTGACTACTTAAGTGTGTCGAAACCATAGATCCTTAACTCATGGTAATACTAGTTTTGTATGTTTTTTTTTTTTGCTGTTTGAAATTCTGTTGTCTTGGCTTGCTTTTGGTGTCACATACAGAACTATAAAGTAAAAAGTAATTTTGGTAAGGTGTGTACCACCTAGTGTTCATGATCACTGCACCTGCTGCCATTCTCTTGCATTACCACTTTCCCGTGTGTTTTTCTGTCGTCGGTGCACTGACAGCATTCGTATCCAACTAACCCGTCCCCGCCTTTCCGCAGATGCCGCCGTCACCAACTACCCACCAGAGCCCCGGACGTGCCGCGTCTCACGAGCCTCGACCCATGGCCGCCTCCACGCCTCAGAGACCTCATCGAAACGGAACACCGCCGGCTAAGAGAAGGAGAGCCTCAGAAACGGTTACCGAGACACCTCCCCACCAACCACCGTCGTCACAGCCGCCATCAACACCATCACAGCAGTCGAACGTACTACCGCAGAACCCTCCAAGAATGCCGTCGTCACAGCCTAGCCCTCCTCCAAGCTCTTCCACGCCGCTCGCCGCTTCTGCAAACCCAGCATCGGCCCCAGTACAGACCCCTGCGGGACACCCCACCGAAGGGGGACAAGCGCTTGCTGAGGAGAATATCAAAGTGGAAAAGGTGGACCTGACTGAAGAGGAGGATGACGATGCTACCCTGGATTCGACGCTGGATTATGTTGCCGATTATGAGGGCGGATACAGAGATGGGCCTGATCTGTCCATGGCTGATGCTGCGGCCATCAGTAAGTGGATGGGATTATCATGTGTGGGGCAGTGTTTGGCTATGGTAAAAGTTTTTGGTCAGTGGGATGTAAGATGGGATACCAATTCAAAAACTTCACGGCCTGGAGGGAGATAATTGCTACGCTAAAATGGTTTGTTTTTCACTTAATCAACCTAAGATTTTTCATTTTGTCGTTTGCTTAGTGTCGTTTAATGCCAATAACCTCAACGTTTTGTGTTTTTGAATTCATATTTGGTTTCATATTCCACACTGTATTCTTATCATAGTTCCAGATTGTGATCCAGTGTTAAGATGAGTTTAGTTCCTCTGCACCAAAATAAACATTGCTTAGGCTTATGACATCTAACCACTCTCGTCTATCTACTATGAACGTCAAACCCCTTGAGACCCCACTTTTTTGCGATAATTTTTAAATGCGTCAACTTTCGTTGACAATATTCTGGCAATGTATGTTTCCGAACCTGCCGAAACTTTTATCACTAAGGTATTTTGACGCCAAACGATTATGGAAGGTACTTCTCATTCACTCGTAATGTTAAGGTCAATTCAGGCCCGGGCAGAGGCTTGCGCTCGGCCACACTCGAGCCCCGCCATCAGCGCCATCTGCTCTAAATGCCATCTACCAGCGCCCGCTACCGCTACCAGCTACCGCCCACCATCAAGCCTGAATGGAGCGAGAGACGCGAGTGACCGGTCGCCGGGCAAGGAGCGCCGGAGGGGTAGGGCGGAGCTTAGCGCTGACGTCATTACGTGGCTCCGCCCCATGAGAGCGTAGCCTCTACCCAAACAGCAGATTCGTTCCGTGAAATTTAACATTACGAGTGAATGAGAAGTACCTTTAATAATCGTTTGGCGTCAAAATACCTTAGTAATAAAAGTTTCGGCAGGTTCTGAAACACACATTGCCAGAATATTGTCAACGAGAGCTGACGCATTTAAAAATTATCGCAAAAAAGTGGGGTCTCAAGTGGTTTGACGTCCATAGTAGGTAAGTTCTGTAATATTATAATATTTTCTACGGCACTTCAACCTCCCACTGACCTCCTGTGTACCCGTCTTCAGTGGGCGGAGGAGGCGGAGGGGGCGTGGCTGGACCCTCTCAGCGGCCCCCGGACGACGGCTCCCAGTCAGGTGGGTGTCACGCGACGTCCGGAAACCGGGACCGGCACGCCAATATCGCCCCCTGCCACTGTGTCATTATATTCTCTCTCTCTCTTCCCATAATACACACTCGCATGACGAAATGTACCCGTCGGTGTAACGGTCTTCTAAATTTGCTCGTCTCGAAGTTATCGAGATAAGTGGCATACGGCCTGACCTAGGACACTGATTCAGACAGGACACTGATAAAGTCCTACTACCGAACCATGTTCGTGTATAACTCTGTTGATGGTAGAAATGGAGCACCAAAAAGCTTGCTGTTTTCAAGGACTAAATAATACAAGTACTTAATCGAAATTTGTGGGGTGATGGGCGACACCTGCGATCTGCTGGAAGCCAGGCGTTGATAAATTGCACATTAACTTAATTTCTTCTACTAGCCTGAGTAAATTCTCTTCCTCTGAAGCTCACGATGCTTCGTAAGTGTACGACTTTGGCTTAGCGGTCTTCATTTTCTTCAGAAGCTCTCATTATGAACTTGTCACTAATTCTGACTTCGTTTGTTCGATGGCAACTTTAAAAGAAAGATCTCGCGTGATTTGCACCAGAAGGGGCGATAGGATATACCGGAACGGTGCTGCTGACAAAATCCCACAACAAAAGAGGTTTCGGTCCCATGGTGCCGAAACGTCCGGTAGTTATAATTGTCTGCCCGCTAGATTGTTTTTCCAATTTCCATTTCTTCAGAATCGATCTTCATGTCCCATTCCCTTCCCGGCCAGCCTCCCTCTATGTATTGGCGTGTCGGCCCTGGAGTGCGAGAACAAAGGTGCAGCCAGGCACTTATCATCTCTGTGCAATATGCCTTAGTAATTTGTACGTCGCTCTTCAAGAGTCATGCTTGAATATCTGTTTTGTAAAACTGAGGCCACCGCTAAGCGGAGCTAACCGCGATGGCGATGCCATATTGAAACCTTTTGACAGGTTATTTTTGCATAGTTTCTACGTCTTGCATCAATCAATATCTATAAATACAATACACTACACTACCCATTTTACCAGCACAACTCGGATAGTTCTAAAAAGAGACTGTTGGTCATATATCATACTGAACGAGGCCGGTGTAAATAAATTTTAAAAACCCAGATACTTGCCAAATTTTTTAACGAGGCCGAAGGCCGAGTTTGGTATGTATTTTGGTATGATTTAGTCTGTATTTTTCTGTATCCCAACGATAAGGTAATTTTTTAGACCGGAGCTCTTAGCCGACTTTTAAAAGAGACCGTCCCAAAATGTTGGCTGAGTGAAAATTGGTGAACATTTTTGACCGTGGTCAATTTCTTCACACCATATTTCACTGCACCTCTCCGGGTAATGTATTAGGATTTGCCAGGCTTTACTACAGTAAAAAAAAAACGTTATTTAGTTAAGCTCAGCTTTTAAAAACAGTTGGTGGCTGGCAGCACCGTCTGAAAACAAATGCTTGGATCTGATTCCCATCTCGGAATCATACCCCTTTTGAATCATTCAGAATTCATTGTGATTACTAGTGACCGGTATTTCGATTATTTTAATTGCATAGTAACAATAATGTCTCTCATAGTTATCGCTTTATGCCTCTATAGCCTCGTTTCATAAAGCGAGTCCGTAACTTACGACGGTTTTTTATCCTGTATTGCAAATGCATGTGAAGCGATAAACTAATTTCCCCTTCTCCCTACTGTTCTTGCTTGCAAGATAAATAATTTCAATGATTCAAACTAACGTCATCGCTTCACATGCATTTACAATACAAGACCAAAAACTGCCTAAAGTTACGGACTCGCTTTATGAAACGAGGCCTATGTCTCTCAAACTAGCGTTAAAGTATATTCAGACCGTTTTAGTTCCAGGCGAAAATGAGATGAAGTCCTGGCTGCACCTTTGTCCCCGCACAACATTCTGTGTCATTTTAATTGTGTGATGTGCCTTATTATGCCATCAGCCGTGCCGTTAAGATTTTGTGTCTGTTTGGGCATGTATGTTTTTTTTTTTGTAGCTGCCTCCGCTCTTGCTTTTCTGATCACTCCAAAATGCTGATTTGCGATTGAATCATTAATATTTTTAATTTACCAGTCTGATGATACATTCGTTGCTCAGGAGAACCCTACAAGCAATTGAATTTATAATGCAAAGCATAGGTCCAAATCTTGCTTTTAGATATACCTAAACCGATGAATTTAGTTAATTGTATTAATAGTAAATTTTGTTCTATCGTTGATGTGTTTTTATAGCTTGTAGAATGGCTAACTGTTTTACGCTTTTGTATTTTATAGTCGCATCTAACATTTTTGATAAATGCTGCTAATTTGCCGCAAACTCATGGGCTTAGGCCATCGATTGCCAGCGCTAAAATTTTTCTCATTTATCGAGGACATACTTGATGAAATATTAAGTATAACGCGAACAACTATCTCTTTGATGCTCGCTAATAAAATCGTTTTCGAGATTATATACGAGTGAACTCTTTGAAGATTAAGTGGATTCCGACTTCGCCTACTTGTGCTGGTGCATCGAGGTTAGTGGTCTTCACGTCTTTTACTTTTCCTAACAATTGGTTATGTGCTTATGCTAGTGATAGTAAGGCCTTTTATTTTGAATGCATTTGTGCATTTTATTATAAGTGCATTATGTTGGGAACTTGTGGGGAGTGGGGTACCTACATTCGTGCAAAAAAAAAATGAATCCATATATCTGCTCTTTGGTTGGTGCAATAATAAAATTGTTGATTGTAGTATGGAAAGGAAAACTTTTGCAGATATTTTACCTTTTTAAACGTTATCCTCTAAAATTATCTCTATTAGAAAGAATGACTTTTGATAACTCGTGTCTGCACGAAACTGCCCCAGATAGTTATGGGGCACTTCCGTGCACCCTGCACAGTTCGAGGAATTACCGGGCATTACCAGAAATTTACCAAACGAAATTGGCAGGGGGGCCATTTCACTCGATTTCTTTCGACAAGAAGGCATTGCACAACAAATATGGAAATAATGAGCTGGCCAACAAGAAAGTGCCAACTGCCGGCCTCCGTGACCTCGCCAAGGTCGCGTGAATCACTCGTCACGACGTCGCAAGCAGCCGAGACTGAGTCAGGCGAGCGTCATAAGTGAAACCTACTACATATTAAGTCATAAATCGCAAAAACAAAAACAAAATATGCACGAATATGCCGCTAAGCAGTGCGTGCGAGAACCTGCCCCACCACGTTATTTGTAATATATTTCAAAATTTCTTTAGGAAAAAGACACTTTTCAAAAAACAAGTTTGCAGAAGTTCCCTGAATAGAGTGGGCTTCTTCGCCGCCAATTTTGAAAAGCTGAACCACATTTCCGAGTCAGGATCACGAAAATGGATGCTATGAAAAAAGTTTGGATAGCTCACGAATAATACAACTTTGCGTTTTTATACAGAGCATGATAGCAGGTGCATTGTTGTTTTCTGCAGTGAACGAGGGGCGGTAATGATACATATTTTCATAATTAACCTTGAGCTCGGGCAGTCACTCGTGTTCCCAATAACTGCTGAAAATGAATGTGCCCCATGCACGAAAGTGCCCCGCTCTCCCCTACTTTATAAAAAGGGTAGGTTATGTATTGGTTAAATGGTCCCAGTTGTGATCGTGCCTCCTTTTGATGAAACCAGGTAGTCCTAGTCCTAAAATGAATTCCTTTATATGCAGCTGTTGGACCAAAGTTATTAGCTAAGTGGATGATCACAAGGCTTATTTATTCGTTTTTTTTTTTTTGCATTTTTGATGTCGAGGAAAAGGTCAACTTCTTTTATTTATCTAATTATGGTCGTTTAATGTTTTGTAAATTTGTATTCATTTCTATGTCTTTTGTAGTGGTTCTAACTTCTAGTGGTAGATTCACTGGAAAATAAATTGGTATTTCCCACGTTTTAGCCCATAAAACTTAGTTTCACGGATGCGTTGGACCCATTTTTCGTTTTGTCCGCTCGCACAACTACATCGGTTGAATTTAAATGGTGTGAATGAGTGTGTTCAGACAGGAAAGCAGTAGGGTAGCCTGGGGCAAGACGCCCCAGATAATTTATTTTGCTACATAAATTTTGTCCCACATCACCTAGAAGGCCAAATTTGTGCTCAATGCGTTCTTTGGACATTTTACTTTAAATTGCACCCCTCAAATTCATTCACTTATGATCGGACTCCAAGCTAGGAAGTGATTTGTGAAGCAACTGCAAATGGGGCATTTTGCCCCAACCCCAGGGCAAAACGCCCCACGGCCTGGGGCAAGTAGCCCCATACTTTAGATTAAACATTTAACATGGTAGTTGGCTAAATCTTATGTGAGAGGTCCGTTAGACCTCTGGAGGCACGGCAATGAAGTTATCACATTCCATCCTGTCAGGTGTTCAGCTATGACACTATTGTATGAGCAGGTTTTTCACCTGCCTCATAAGACCAAATAATAAATTATTGCAATGCAAATGTTTACAAAATACTTCCATTGCCATCCAGTTGCTGAGAAAAATACACATAAAGACATAGAAACTTACTGTTTGCCAGCTACCGAATATTAGAAAGTGGGTAGCCCGAACAACACATGAGGTAAAACGCCCCATGGGGCTTTTTGCCCCGCGACCTACTGGGGCGTTTTACCCCATCACGTAGTTCGGTCAGAGAACAACGCATTGCACTCCAGCAAGACATAATTTAACAGGAACCAACCCGGCATGATAAGCGTTAGACAATAATTGTTCAAAATACATAAAAGTCGTTAACCTGATGTGGACCATAAAAGAACGCCATGATGCATAATCTGACAACAAAACATATAAATCACTCAAAAAACACATTTTTGGCTATATCTCCCGAAAGAGTCATCACAATTTCTTTCCAGTCTGCTCATATAATGATCATATAGTGCACGTTTTATAGAAGAGAGGATGTTCCCCAGAACTCTGCCAGTTCCGAGAAACATCGGTGAGGCGTTTTACCTCGGCGGGGCGACTTGCCCCGGTCTACCCTACTTGTTTGAGAAAGACTTTTCCACAGAGCCCAAAAGTTTTAGTTTGCCATATCGTTGAGTTATTTTGCGCCGTTCTCAAGACATGTCCCTTGATTCATTGAAGAATTCCTTCAAGACAATGCCCTTGCTCTTAATTCATGGAATCGTTGGCAATGCAAATCAAGCTATATTTCACAGCATTATCGAAAGGCTGACAGGTATGACGTTTAAGAACTAGATCGTGCAACCAAACGAGGTATGTATGTTCTTTTAGTTGCCAGTGCGGTGGTTGTTTCGCCGTAATTGTCCGTAAAAATGGAAAAGACGGTTTGCTGCATTTTAACCTATTTGAAGCTATGTTTTTTATGTCGATTTGTGCCTAAAAACCTATAATGCCATGTCGTCACATATTGTATGTGTGTGCCACTTCTTTCACATATGTGTATCATCTTAATGATTTTCCTGTTTCAGATTGGTATCTGAACAATCCTGGTGTGGAAAATACATGACGGATGTTAGATGTACTGGGAATATGTCTGAGAAGATGAACTCCAAATGAAGAACGCCATAAAATTCACCTTGTTCGCGGACTAATGAAATGTTGTGATGCGTCTAAGTTGCTTTCCTAACTTTTCATACAGCCGAGCATGTGGAACTAATTTTGAAGTTCGGCGGTTGGTGACTTCAAGCAGCCATTGTATGACAGCAGTCACAAAACCTTTTGCTTTGTTAGTGATATGTGACCTGAATAACTTGTCAGGTCTAGCCATTAAGATTGAAAATTTATTGCTGATTGAATTCGTCCCTGAATTTAGTCTGCCCTTTTCCATGTTGGCTGGAATTATGCTTTAGCCAAAACATGTCATCTTCCGACCAAGGTTTGCTTAAAGGGACTATCCCACCTTCTAAAATGTTGTTAAAACCAGTTAAATTGTGCCCGACTTTATAGATTGGCTGACCAGGAACACGGTTCTGGCATTTATTTTTCATTAAACATCTTAGGCTTCCCATATTCCAAACACAAACTTTCAAATATGTGACGTCACAGCCCAAAATTACCTCCTTCCCCAGGCCACATTACTGTCATAAAGCTGATTCTTTTTACTCTGTAGGCACCACAACAAAGTTCAGACCAACTTTTAAGCGATTTTTCAACGAACAAACCCATTTAAATCAGAATGACTAAACGACGTGACGTCACACTAACGGTCGGTCCATGTTGAAGATAGGGCCTTGTACAAGGCCCATTTTCAAATGAAGGGAACGAATTTCTTCAACACCAAGAGGCCGCGGGGGTTGCAACCTAGAATAGATAGTGGTTTCTGAACCTCGCCGCAAACTTGGCTATCTCAACTCAAACCCCATGTTAAAGGTGGGATAGTCCCTTTAATTCTCGAAATGGTTTACCGCGCATGTGTGCCTTTATACCTGATGATTGCTGAACGTCCAACCGTACAATGAGAGTGGTAACCCAATGTCAAATCTACGAGAATGAGGACATTCTATAACCATATTTTTTGCAGTGTCAGGGGTACGGGTGGGTGACTTTTCTGAAGTTTTCACAAGTGAATACATCTCGTGGCGCACGAGAGGAATGGTATTCCAACGACACTTTTGATTTCCTACAAGCTGCTGTAAGTAGTCTCGTGTAGTCTCCTATTTATTCAATTGACAAGCGTCAAACATGTAGCTCGCTGCTTATGTGATTGCTTCCATTCGAATGCAACTGCTGAATACATTTGTGACGCAAACTATGCGTTTTAATCAAATACGATCAGCAATTTGAGAAAATAATGTGACACACAAAAGCAGTAAGCTACATGGGCTTTTTGCATATGAAAATTGGCTTGGTAGATGCAACAAACAAAATGCGATATCAAGAGCTAGTCATAGCGTGGTACCGACCTGCACTAAAGGAGCAATGCTGATCGTTGTTCCCCACATTGAAGTTCTAACAGCCTTTTTTTTTCTTTTCTTCCAGATCAGAGACTTCACGTTTGTAACGTCTGCGGCAAGTCGTACAAACATCGAGAATCGCTGAACCACCACCGGAAGAAGCACGAAGGCCTCACAACCTGTTTTGTGTGCGGTAAAGTGTGCTGTATCGTCGCGGAGCTGCGACGGCACCTGGAGCTCAACCACGGCCTGACTCAGGAAGAAGTGCGCCGCTTCGTGCCCACGAAGCCCAAGGAGCGCATCATGCAGGCCCCGTTCCGAGCAGCGGGGATGCTGCAGCCGACGTTAGGCGCGGCGCAGGCAATGCTGCAGAACGCTGCGACAAACGCGGCGCAGTTCCGACCGCCTGTCAGAGCTGGGTTTGAACAGGCGTTTGGGCGGATGAAACGAGGATCGGCCGCTTGGAATGTGGAAACGAGTGCGAGTTCGAGCCTGGGATTGAGGGCGAGTACGGGTAGAGACACTGGTGATCACACGCCTGTGAGACCGGGCGGTTCAGGAGTTGGAATTGAAAGGAACTCTAGTGTCGGAGATGCAGAATTGACTGCCGAGTCCTTGCCTAAGCAGGAGGAAGGATCTGTTTCGTACAGGCCAGTGCAGCTTCGCTCGGGGGAACCTGAAGCTTGGGGGAGCTCGGATGGTGGTGGGGGAGATAACATTGGCCAGGCGGCTACAGAGTAACACAAGTCTTATACTCTCAATTTCATAAACAATATTAAGCTCCTAGCGATTTTACAAGCGTGTTAGTTGATTTAGCATACCCTGGTACTATGCAGTTTTGTAGTAAGTATGATATTCTAATGACATTTTCCATTGTATCTCGTTAATCTGTATGTTACTCATCATGCGCCTTGCAAATAAAGTCAAAAGTGGTACGTTTTATCATTCTAATGGACGAAGACTGAAAAAGAATGCGCTGTAATCTGAGTTCCCAACTCTCTGTTACACGGTTATTATATTGTGTTGATTAAACTAAAAGTAGCTCACTATGCAGTATGCAAGCTCGTGTCAGTTGTCACTAACATTCCATTGGCATTGTTGCTTTGATGATATCAGACACTGTGACTCCAGTTAGCGCGCCCAGATATCTGACCCGTCGTCAGGCGGTCTGCCCACTCTGGAGATCCAGACATGCGGGCTTCGCCACAAATCACATACAGGTCCGATCGCTAGCTGAAATGGCACCCTGAGGTGCCAGCCTCCTATTGCCATGCAAGGTCCGGCTCGGGTGCTATCTCAAGGATTCGACTTACGACGTTTGTTGCGGCTATTGTTCAAGGGAAATAGTGATGATAATACGTCACAATACGTTGCATAATCATCACTGTCGTCGCTCAATCGTCGTTCCTTCAGCGTTAGAGAGAATTAGCGTATGACTGCATACTTCTTCAACATATTTTACATACACAGTACACTATCACAAAGTCAGACATGCACTATACACTCATGCAGTGACAGTTCTACGTCCCCTTCCACAAATTATTTTACACGAAATGTTAACCTCCGAATTGGTTTGGATTTCCGCAGAAGATTCCTTTATCTTTGAAGACTTCCTCTCGCCCTTCCTTTTATTCTTCCCATTGATGTCATTGGTTTCTTTTTCAAAAAGGTACGTATCATTTCGGCCATTGTTTTGTAACTTTCTATTAGATCAGCTGATACATTCTATCAGAATTAATAGATGAACTGAACGCAAGAGTACCTTGCTCAATTCCGGGTTTCCTTATGACTACCTGTCTTATGATTCATTTATTCTAGTCTGTATTGTTCTCCGATAGGCAAGACGTGTTAACTGTCGCCACTTCGCATCATTCTTTGATCTCCCTTCACTGTATTTCAAGGACCACAACGGGTCAGCCAGTGACCACTGACCAAACCTAAGATTGCACCTCCTGCCGGCAGATCGTTTCACGTGCGAAACGTGCGGCCGGGTCTACTCCCGCCTGCTGTCTCTGGAGCACCACCGCAAGGTCCACGAGGGGCTCACCAAGTGTCCCATCTGTGGCGTGATAGCCAGTCGCGTGGGTCACCTTCGACGCCACATTCAGATGGTGCACCGGCTGCCGGCGGAGCAAGTCTACACTCTGGTGCCGAGCAAGTTTTCTCGGAGTCGCTGAGACGGTTGGGAATGTGTATAATGTATATGGAGTGGACTGTCGGACAATAGTGTGTTTTGCTTCGGACTTCGATGTGGTTTCTCTTCGGACATCGTTGTGGAAAATTAGGTAGCCAGGGCCATAGGAGGATCCATTTTCTTTCATGAGTGTCTGAACGTCACAACAAAGTCACTCCCAACGTGTGGAATGTTTTGAGTTCTTCCATTTAGGGGCGCAGTGAGACTTCTGTTGCGGATGGGGAGTAGTGGAGAATCTGTTGATTTCTTGGAAAAGTGATGCTATGCGATGTAAGGGTAGGTAATGTTTCATCAAGAATTGGCGAATGAAGACCTTTGTATGGTTTCATAGTTATCAGACAGCTGAGTCCCGAATTCTAGTTAAAATGGTTCGGTGTAAAGGTAGATAGTGCCTAGATGTTGATGACCCAAAGTTACTGCGGTTCATGCGAGACTGCAAACTGTTCGCGATCTCCTTGTTTTCAACGGAAGAATGACTGATAACAAGAATATGGAAAGTTTCTTACAAGTACCGTCTTAAAGTTGCTACATCAGACGATGTGCATAGATAGCTTTGGTATAGGACGCTACTGTATAAGGATTCGCCGACAGATGAACATAACTAAGCCTTGATTTAGTCCGTCACTGTGGTGACACGAATGAAAGCTGAACATTCATCGTCATTTGCAGCATGTGTTACTCTAACTCATTTCAGGGAGAATGAAGTTGCTACTTTTTTACAGCCCAGATAAGACCGTCTTGTTTATTTTCTTATTCGATGTGTTCAGGCGTACTATGTATCGCCTTTTAGTGGAGTCTAGAAGCGAAACATTTTTTTTTTTTGGAGTTACGTATGTGTTTTAATGACGTCGATGATATCGTGTTTAATAAAGTGTGCATCGAAATATTTGAGAACAGATAGTGAAACGCTTGCTATGTGAGCCATCCAATAAAAAAGCTACCAATGACACCCACTGATAAACACATGCATTGATTTGGAGATACCTGTTTCAACCACCATGCCAGTAATTTGTATGTTATGGGAGAACGATGCACCAGCCAGCGGCCTTTGCTACCCATCAGTTTCACACGCTTTACCCTCGTCTTCCCTTGCTTCCTTCTTTCCTTCTTCTTTTTTATTTTACCAATAGTTAGTCGCCTATGTAATCTTGTCAATGGCATTACCTACTATCTTAAAAAATGCTGCTTTTCAAACTGGGGGGGGGGGAGCACTGTACTACAGTGACTGTACACCAAAAGTGACTGTAGGTATGCATCTTTAGATTAGTCCTTATTTCCTTAAACAACCTCGTGATCCGGGCATCTATGTGTCACTTGAACCGCCAGTAATCACACATATCAGTCTTCTTTGCGACGTAAAGATCCGTGCCCTTCCACGTCCTGACGCTAATACACGTCACTCGTCTTGTGAAGTCATCAGTCCCCTGGCCGTTGACCACCCACGTCCTTCACTAGTCCAATCGTCTCCTCCCTCCGTAAAAGCTCTAAGTCGTCAGCATCATTGTGAATTTCAATTTTGTCCACAGGTTGTTTCGTATGCGACATATGCGGCAGGGGCTACGCCCACGCCGTATCTCTGGGACTGCACAAGAAGGTTCATCAAGGACTGACAACGTGCGCACTGTGCGGCAAGGTCCTCAACAAGGTGGCGGACCTGAGGGAACACATACGCATGGTCCATAAACTGAGCAAGGAGCAAGTACAGCTGATTGTGCCTTCTATGCGGTCGAGATATATGTGATACGGAATATTCAGAGCGAGAAAGCGTAGGGACGTGAGAATGTCGTGGGAAGGACCAGTAGACAGGTGTTCCAATTCGACAAATGTGTGAATAGTAATATGATTAGTGATGTGTAGGAGACTGTCTTGCGGCAGGGAAGTCTGTAGCAAGTTGTTCCGTTTGGTGTCCACTCTATGTCAGTGGAGTCGCTTGTACAATATATGTGATGGCAACCATGTGGTTAAAATCGAATAGTGACCTGAGTTCAATGAATGTGTGTTTGATGATTTCATATTCAGGATATGAGGAATGACATGGGAACGGATTGTTCTTCTATTTTGGACGCAGCTTTCTCTTTGCTAGCGATGCCTGAGATATACTTCGAATATATCCTGTCTTGTGACTTGGTCCAACACAATGCCACAATTTCGCATTACTTTTATCATATAGTGATCGGGTTTGTTTGTCATAGATAGCCCTTAGTTTGTCAATCGGATATGCACAACACTAACAGATAAAACGTCAACTGAATTGTTTAAGGTATTGTTTGAACGATATCACACGACAATGATTCACGTGATTTTTCATTTAATGTTTGTACATGAGATATGTTCCTTCATAGACAGTTGGACGCATTCCTCTCAATTCACTCTAATGTCGTTTGCCTGTTCACCGTTGCTACTTGCAACGTTTGATGACTGTCTTGTAAACGTTTCATTGTCTTGTTTTAATCTTCGTGGAAAATATATGGTAATGCCCTGAGTTTGTTTGTAAGTCTAACAATATTCGTCTGCTGATGACTCCGGTTCTGATGGTGATATATGTGCTTCGTAACGTGTATGACCTGTATGACACTTCTGATTGGGCACTTGGCCCAATCTCACCAAGTTGGTTAAACTTAATTTCGGGGTAGTATTTTTGTAGTTATGGAGTGGGGTAGTTTGGTATTTTACCCCAAATTGAGTTTACCGCACTTGGTGAAACTGGGCCCTGGTGTATTTACAATAAAATAGGTGCATAGATAGGTTGGGTGGTGTTGACAAGCTGCGGTAGTAACACAGTGCCTTAAACAGTACTCTGGTGACACTGGACAGTTCCATCGGCAGTAACCTTAGTCCTTATCTGCTTTTGGTTTATTACCAGTACTTCTAATTTTTTTTTTGACCCGTTACAGTTTAAAAAGCGTTGTCTTAAACCGTTTACAGTACCAACTTACCATTACCACTTATCAACTTACAATTACATTATACACATTACATTTACAATATACAATTAACTTACCACTTACCAACCGCGGCTTGTCCCTAGAAGCATGTCGATCTGTCGATCATGTGAGCTTCAGATAAGCTTTAACTTGACTGTATTTGTTCATGTGCCCATTCATTGCAAACATGCGTCTTCCTCTCTGCCGTCCGATCACCTACAATGCCATTCTTCCCCAGGTAAGGGCCGGCCTTGCCCAGACTGTGGGCGAATCTACAAACACAGCGGCTCCCTGATGCTGCACAGGAAGGTGCACCAAGGGTTGACCACGTGTCCGATATGTGGCAGCGTCAACAACCGCGTCGCAGACCTTCGCACCCACATGCGTACCATACACAAGCTCACCAGGGAAGAAGTCAAGGCGATGGTGCCCAGTGACCGCTGGCGATTGAACAGGGTGCCAAGTCGGGAACAGCCTCCGGATCAGTGAAAAGGCTGGCAGTGGCAGCAGTGGAGGAGGAGTCACTGGCATTAGTGAATATGACACCAATGATGTCAGTGAACGAACAGACAGTGGCAGCAGCGAATGATGCTATGTTGGTGGTATCGTTAGCGTTAGGGCTAGCTTTGTGATGCGGACTTAGAAGAACCGATGACGGTGTGCAAGTTTTGTTTTGCACCAGGTGTTGAGATCTTGCTAACGAGAGTTAATCAAAACGGTGATCATTCTCTTGCCAATTGCGATTAACGCATGTTTTGTGCTCAAACCTTTTATGTGTTCGGAACTGTAATGTTTGCATTAAGTGAATCTGCCTTGTGGGAACTCATTCAGTTTTAGGGCGATGGGCATTTTGAAGAATTACGAGCCTCAAGTGCAGCCAACTGTATACGCGTAAGTAATTTAGTTCGCCTTCTGGCGTCTGATTAGCGAAGTTGGCGGTATTGTTTTGGTTCTTTATTTGCACTGAAAAGTTAAAATGATGGTCATACAAATGTGAGAGCTAAAGGAGCTTATGACAAAAATGTTGCGCTCAAGATTGCGGCGAGAGTTTTGTAGTGAATAGTGATGGAGAGTTGCTGCCCGTCAAACCCGGATATAGAGGAGTGAGGATGTTGTTAAGATGACTGCTACTTAAGATGACTGCCGATTTTGGGTTCATAACATGTGGCAGATGTGACATATACCTAACAAGAAATAAAGGCTGAAGCACACTTTCCGCAGTCAGGAAATCGCATGCGAGAGCCTATTTAAACACATTAAAATTCTGCGCGCATCTATCGTATGCGGGAGGTGCGTGCGATTGCTGCGAGCGTGATTTAATGTAGTTGAATAGGCTCTCGCATGCGATTTCCTGACTGTGTAAAGAGTAGGTGTCAGGCTTAACGGATGACCAGGGACTATTTATACTAGGGATATGTTTTGAATTGAACCATGCCAACCATCTAAACAAAGGTAAAAGTCGGTACTTAGGAATAGTTTTGTCATTTTCGGTATCAGAGGATAAACCGAACTGTAGATAACGCTAGATCCCATGAAAATATAGGTGTTTTATGTGAGCGCCTCATGTGTGAACGCATCCTATAATTGTGTATATCTGGAAAATTTAGAAGTCTTGCTGGTGGTGGTGTCAAAAAGCCGTCGTGGTCCCACATCGTCGGACTTATTCTGAAAATAAAAGGTCATACGAGTTTTCATTGTTTTATACCTTTGTCCATCGGTTGAGCGCTAAATCACGCCAGAAGTTTCTGCGTTTTAAACCGTAATATCGACACATTCTCATGAATAAAAGAGTAAGTATGTCAGGTGATGGCTCGCTAGCAGTGAAAAAAGTGGGTGCGATGTAACTAGAATGCGGCATCCTTTCGGCTATTATAAATCCGATGTGTCGTACAATGTGCAGTGTGAATATATAGCCCTTACATTTGTGCCAATGCTAACGAACTTCCTATCATGCATTGTCACTGGGGAAGCGGACTTGCCACTTCAACCCTTTGCCAATCAGTTTAACCTCCACTTCCACATTCTAACCGCAGGTTGTTTGAAATAGACAAACACTATTCGTCATAACTTTGATCCTCCTTCACAGGTCGTTCGCTCGAGTGCAATGAGTGCGGCAGCGTCTACTCCCATCTCAGCTCCCTCCTGCTGCATAAGAAGAAGCACGCCGGCTTCACAACCTGCATGTTGTGTGGCCGCGTCTACGGCAGGGTCACCATCCTGCGGAACCACCTGATGAAGGCGCACAACATGTCCAAGAAGGACGCCCGAGAGATGTCACGGGGTGGTCGGAGGCGTACCCGGACTGTTACTCTTCCAGCCCAAATTCAAACTCGGAGCTCTGTGACTGTTACTCTTCCAGCTCAAAATCAAACGCGGAGTTCCTCTAGCTCTGAAGCGCATTCAGTGGCACTGGATAACATACAGCTCTCACATAAACATGTTTCTCTTCCAGCTCAAAATCAAACGCGGAGTTCCTCTAGCTCTGAAGCGCATTCAGTGGTACTGGATAGCATACAGCTCTCACACATCTGATTTGGGCTGAATAAGAATGCTGGTTGTCGCCTAGTGTTCAGCACCTAACGATGAATTAGTATGTAACACGCCAAGAAATTGTCCGATCTAGTGATCTGTACTGATGAAATTGCCCAACGTTGCTTATTTGACGTCAGATTTGCGTTTTGAGCTGATAACTCCAAGTGCGTGGCTTTATGCCAAGCTGGAAGTGTTGTGTCTGTATATCGATGCGTCCTTTTTTTTGCCCTGCAGCGTCAGTTTTGTCAGCGCTCGAGGGCTGTACTTGTACATTTTTGTTACCGGCGGTGCGTTTGGAAGTTTGATTTTGTGCGTGCGGAACTATTGACCGAGGAGCTGACACGTTTGCCCGTCGGGAGGATGGCACTGTTGGTATTATCTGCGATGCCTTGCTTAGTGGCCCATTTGCTCCGGAGTGTCATTAGGCTATAGGAGGTCATTTGCGTATAATTTCCGTTCTCGTCCGGTGAAGAGAACACGCAGCTAAAATAGCCAGGCACGCAAGGTTTGACCGTGATCGTATGGTTTTAGAACATGTTCGCGTGCAAACGCACGTTGTGCGTAGGAGCTTAAACGGCTCATAGCAACGTTTTGAATATGAGTTTCCGCAACTTCTTGTATTGGTTTGTCATCTTCAGTTTCTTTTTGAAGTGTTTGTATTTGTGCAGTCTAAAGGTAACTAGATTTGTTGGTATAGTTCAATTTTTAAAGCTGAAATAAAAAGCAAGAAACGTTTTCACAAATGTCTTTCTTCTGACTTCAAAGTATGAGGGGAGAATGTTTAAGAGTTCACATGTTTTCGTCACATGCTGAGGAGAATGATGAGAATCTCGCCGGCGCCTTTGTCGTTTATGTAGGTACTCCCTATTTATAGTCACCGTGGGTACTCCTATGTTACTTTTTTCTTAACATAAAACCTACCGTAGCATGCCTAATTGAATCTTGGTTCCATACGCATTATCATAGTATGATTGCAAAGCTAGCAGACGTGGTTCTCATGGCTTATTAATTTACGGTCCTCATAGTAACGCTATAAAACTCTCCGTCTCATACTAAGGCTATAGAACTCTCCCTCTCATACTAAGGCTATAGAACTCTCTCTTATTTCTGACACCCTCTTATGCCGGCCCATCATGCTACCCTCACGCTCATCCCTGACCACAGGTGTGCCGCTGTCCTGTGACGTCTGTGGCAGGATCTACCACCACATCAGCTCACTGGCGCTGCACAGGAAGGTCCACCAAGGCCTCACCCGATGTCCGGTCTGTGGCAAAGTCTCCAGCAAGGTGGCCAACCTCAGGAGACACTTGGAGAGGTCACACAGGATGTCGGCGGAGGACATTGGACGCATCGTGCCCAAGAGCCGGCACTCAGTGGTGGCGACGAGCAGGCTCTCGCAGCTCTGATGCAGTGATCTGAAGCTTTTTAAAGGGAGATTATGACCTTTTTCCACAAAATCTGAGTTAGGACCATTTTCTGACAAAACACAACAAGTTATAATGTAAATTAAAACCATTTTGCTCAATTCGGTACCTTGCCGCAAATATCTCAACTTGAAGTCACGTTAGCGGGGAGCGCTGAAAATGACCGTTGAACAAGTACTTACATCACTTTTTGGTACTTGCATGTAATTTTGTAAAATGAGCGTATTCATTACATTTGATCTTCATCACATCTAGTTAGTTAATGGTCGTCTATAGTGCCTTCAAAAGATATTCATGGTTTGGGGGTGGTTTATGTCTAAAGTTACGCAACTATTTTTCCTGTTCATCATCTGTCGCCATATGCTGCTATTTTAGTAGCAACGACTCAATTTTGAATCGGTCCCGCCGACTGCACAATAAAAGAAGATAGATACAACACTTTTGCGGCATCACTGAAAAACTTATGCAGTACTGTTATCAAAATTCTCATAACACCGTTCGACAAACCTGAAGTCTTTTTGAAATAAATATGCTTGTATTTTTCGCTTCAGGCTCTGAGGCCAAAATAATGAATTTCGTAGTTGCAATCGCAAGATTTGACTGCGTTTCTGGCGCATGCCGTGCATTTGTGGCGCAAAATAATACTTGGAAACAAAGAAGAGTAGGCACTATGTACCCCCGAATTAGAATCTAATTAATTCTAAACCGAATTAACTCTAATTCAAATTAGAATCCTTACAACCAAGCAACGACAAGGCGATAACATAAACAAAAACCCAAGCGTCGCTGTTTGAAACAAAAGCGCCATATACTGCGACTTTTTTATAGAGAAGGACAACGCATTTCGGTGGGTGTTACAAGTACTGCAAGTACTGCTTCTTTTTGCAAAAATAAAAACCTTTTTCACATACGAAAATGTTCTTGGAAATTTTCATATTTTATAGAAACTACAGTAGAAATAGTATAGATGTCGAGTAATTTTTATTTAAGAAAAAAGAAAGCTCATTATCTCCCTTTAACATGAACTTTGCGAGAGATGTGAGAGGATGATGAAGGTTTGCGGTTTGTGTGATTAAATGGAATCATTTGTAGTCTTTGGTGAAGTTTAAGGTCTAGATCAGGAATTTCAAGGTGATGATCCTTAAGAGTTTCGCCAACTGGTAGAAGGAACTGCCGCGGCTTTTCAAGCGCGTGTGTCCACGGTTTTCGTGGTTGTGTTTTTTGTTCGAAAGACATCGATTGCTAGGGTTGCTATCTAGTCCGAAGGCAGATCTGCTGACTGCTTCATTATTTTGTTTCTTTGTTTCAATCGTCAAATTTATGAGCTTAGAGTATTCAGCTGAATTTTTGTTGGTATGTTTTTTATTTGTATTTGATCCCCAAGGAAAGTCCGACTTGCAATGATTCCCCCTCCCTGGCCGGGATACTTTTTTCCACGCTAAAGCTTTCTGCCCCCCCCCCCCCCCTCCTTTCAGATAACAATATCGACTGACGGCCTGGTTAGCTTGTGATAATACAGATAGAACCCGAAATCATGGTTTTATGCGATGTTATAGTTATTCTTTGTTGTGTTGCTATGTAAGTAACCTATTTAATTTAGCAGTTACGGTCATCCAATATTTGTAACGTGACGTATTTTTCTATCATAATATGTGCTGTAGAGTTGGATGGTTGCATTGTATAATACTTAATAGTTAGCTATTACTTAGGTCTGATTTTTACGTCAACTTCCACGTCTCATGCTCCACAAAAGCAAAAGAAGTACGCACAAGACCAAGCATCCCACCATCAACGATCTTAAACGTACTGAATTCTTAAATGCATGTTAGGTTCTACAGTCTTCACTTCATTCGCGCAATCGTTATCAGCTTTTCGGGTGAGTTATCAACAAACAACTGTTCTTTTTGCGACATTTTCGGACTCCTTTTTAGGGCCATGCAATGTTATATAATTATAAGTATGTTTGATAGAATGTAATCTGATGCGAGTCGAAACTGGCAACCAGCTGACTGGATCTCTAACAACTGTCTAACCTTCCCTTTCGTCATATGTGGCATGGGCAATGCATACGTAAAAGATAAGGACAAGAAAATTGTGAATGTGTGTGTGTTTACTTCGGTACTACCCAAGGCCCCAGTCATCCGTCGGCCCCCAAACCCATGGTAAATTTCCCGCAATGTTACATACCTCAGGCCTCAGCCCCCACCCTTGACCCCGCCTTGGCTTACCGTTTACATTCGTGTCGTCTTGTTGTTCACTTCTCTCGCCTTCCTTCCAGGTCGCGCCGTCTGGCCGGTCGCTCCCGCTCTCCTCCCGAGCGGCGGCGGGGACTGCCGCACCGCGGCTGGGTTCCAATGCGACATTTGCGGCGCAGTCTACCGGCGCCGCGACTCCCTCTACGATCACCGCACGCACCACGAGGGACGCACCAAGTGTCACATCTGCTGCGCCACTTTCAGTACCGTGCGCAGCCTTCGTCGCCATCTGCGAGACCTGCACAGATTGAACGCCGACGAAGTGCGAAGTAGAACGCAAATCAACGATGCGTAGAGGCTACTCACTGATCACTTTAATTCGCGCGCACATGATTCTAAACCACCGACGGATCGCGACGTGTAACCTGCGTATCGCTTCTATGTAGGGATCGGGTCGGTTTTATAACACACATGCGCGCGGGAGGGACACCGCTGCATAACCAGCGAGAGGAACGCGACTGGCCCGCCGCTCCAGACAGCGGGCGGGCCGCGCAGACCGGCATAGCCTCCGGGCAGGTCAGGGCAGGGGCGGCGCCAGGCACGGTGGTGCGGGGGGGGCGGTAACCGCAGAGGCGCTCAAAGGAAATATACATGGAAAGGTTACGAACATAGAACCTTTTTTGAATATCGATACAGTGACGACAGATGTCTAATCATGAGACGTTTTATTGACAGGATAACACGGAACGGTTCTAGACGATTGAAAAAGTGATGATGTAGCGCACTTCAACAGAACGCATATGATCGTCTGGTCATAGCTTAAGCTCACCGGCGTTGAATCTAGGTCCAATCGTGCAATAAAGTGACGTCTGTACCCAAGTAGGTATGCTCTAATTGCTCAATTTAACAGGCCTCTCCTTTGAGTCCTAACTTCGTCTGAAACTCTGTTCAGACTGCTTTGTAACAGGGCGGTAGACTCAGTAATTAGGGACGATCGGTTGGCCAAAACACCACCTGCAAGGCTTCGGTGGGAGTCGCAACGGGAACTGTGTGAACAATTAGTTTCGCATGCATAGGTAGGGTAGACCGGGGCAAGTCGCCCCGCCGAGGTAAAACGCCTCACCGATGTTTCTCGGAACTGGCAGAGTTCTGGGGAAACATCCTCTCTTCTATAAAACGTGCACTATATGAACATTATATGAGCAGACTGGAAAGAAATTGTGATGACTCTTTCGGGAGATATAGCCAAAAATGTGTTTTTTGAGTGATTTTTATGTTTTGTTGTCAGATTATGCATCATGGCGTTCTTTTATGGTCCACATCAGGTTAACGACTTTTATGTATTTTGAACAACTATTGTCTAACGCTTATCATGCCGGGTTGGTTCGTGTTAAATTATGTCTTGCTAGAGTGCAAAGCGTTGTTCTCTGACCGAACTACGTGATGGGGTAAAACGCCCCAGTAGGTCGCGGGGCAAAAAGCCCCATGGGGCGTTTTACCTCATGTGTTGTTCGGACTACCCACTTTCTAATGTTTGGTAGCTGGCGAACAGTAAGTTTCTATGCCTTTATGTGCATTTTTCTCAGCAACTGGATGGCAAAGGAAGTATTCTGTAAACATTTGCATTGCAATAATTTATTATTTGGTCTTATGAGGCAGGTGAAAAACCTGCTCATACAATAGTGTCACAGCTGAACACCTGACAGGATGGAATGTGCTAACTTCAGAGCCGTGCCTCCAGAGGTCTAACGGACCTCTCACATAAGATTAAGCCAACTACCATGTTAAATCTGTAATCTAAAGTATGGGGCTACTTGCCCCAGGCCGTGGGGCGTTTTGCCCTGGGGTTGGGGCAAAATGCCCCATTTGCAGTTGCTTCACAAATCACTTTCTAGCTTGGAGTCCGATCATAAGTGAATAAATTCGAGGGGTGCAATTTAAAGTAAAATGTCCAAAGAACGCATTGAGCACAAATTTGGCCTTCCAGGTGATGTGGGACAAAATCTATGTAGCAAAATAATTTATCTGGGGCGTCTTGCCCCAGGCTACCCTACATGAGGGGGCCTCGGGGAATGTGAATGACATGTTACCGAAGGACGGGAGGGGGAGGAGTGGGTGGTTGGTGGAGGTATTTTCGATTCAGACAGGACGATAATAAGTGTGTGTCCGTTTTCAGGGTCATGTCTGTGATATATTCATGATAGTGTGGTCTTCTGATATGCAGAACAGCGAATAATCAGATCCTACAAACCGCAGGCAAACTGACTCTGACTCTCAAACTGACTCAAACAAACTCTGTGCGTAGAAAGTTCCACACAAAATTATGTTTATTGTTTCGGAGTGGGAGGAACATCTCCGGAACAAACACTCACAAATCGAATCAACATAACTCGACGACAATGAACCCTAGATGACAGCCTACAACATCCATTAGACTCTGACAAAAAGCCTGTCTCAACGTATTACCTACGGAACATAAAAAGAGCATGCCTTGGATGAGGACAATGAACAAGACGAGGAACACTGGGCTTGACAATAAACACACTCGTGATCAGCACGTTCTGCCAATCTCCACGCGCATATTCACAAAAACGTCAGAGGAAAATATTAAATATTTGGCAACGTTAGCCATAATGCGGCATGCCCATGCCATCCCCTGAAGTTGAACGTTGTAGTTTGTATTTACATCAAGTCTCAATATTTACCCCTTTTTCCTCCTAGCTCCACTCCCCATTTTCCCCTCTGTCATTTTTCCCCTATCTTAATTGCACACTACCAATAGCGTAGGATACCTCCATCATTGCTACCATGCCCGTTTGCAAGGAGAAGGTACCTCCAGCATTGCAGTTACACACCCCTCTGATCATCAAAGATCACATGATTACTTACAATCGCTCCCAATAACCAGCACAAAGGTCACATGCCGACACATTATGCCAACAACGAACTGCCAAATGTCAAGAGAACAAAAAGGCATGTGGGAGAGGACATGTACACTGTTCAGTCATACACCAATCTAGTTGGAGCCCTTCGGACCCGACTGCTACGTCTCAACTGTGCTTCACACGATGCAGTTGTAGCAGTTGCTTCCCTTGTTTCCTCACCACCATCCTGAGGAGCGTCACCGCTGCTCCCCGCAGCGGACTCTGTTGTCTGCCTGGGTACAGCCACCTGAACCACCAAAGGAGACTCGTCTACTGCCCGGCCGACTTGTTGCCCAGGCCTGCAGTCCGCCACTGACGCTGCCGTTGTATAGCGACGCCGGACATCCCGAATATGCCACGGGACGTCATTGAATTCCACGACTTGGTCGGATACCAAACGTGTTACGACTCCGCTTAATGACGTTTCTGAGCATCGGGTGCCACGACGTCTGATCCACACCGCATCTCCCACAGCATACGGTGCTGGTGGTGAATTCTGTGCGGCTTCTTCAGATGTAACTGGCCGTATCTGCGCTGACTTCACATAGTCTCTGACTGTGTAGCGATACACAGCTTCAGCTGGACTCCTCGCTTGTCGCTGTTCCTCATCCCGCGGTGACACGTTATATAGGTGTACAGCTTCAGCAATGGAGCATTCCTTGCGTGCAGCGATCACCTTGACCGTCCGGTGGGAACGCTCCACAATTCCGTTTCCACTGGGCTCATAGACCGCCCTGAACCTCAGTTTCACATTCCACCGCGCAGCGAATAACGCGAACTCTCGGCTACGAAAAGCAGTACCATTATCGAGCAGCAGCTCCAGGGGCGCCCCCCTTTCAAAGAACACCTCCTCCAGGTGCTCAATCACAGCGTTCGAGTCCAGCCGGCGCAGCTGCTTCCATATACTGAAGCGTGAAGGACCGCAATCCGTGATTGTCAAGTAGTGCCTTTTCCGATGATGTGTCACATCCAGAGCCAGTCGATCCCACGTGTTCGACACTGCCAGTGAACCGTGCGCCACTTCACAGGAGCCGGGTCGATGGAGTTACAGACGTCGCACTGCCTCACGACGGATTGCACCTGAGTTCGAGTCACGCTCCTTGAAAGTTCTCTACGAGCAAAGTGCAGCGTTTTACGAACCCCTGGGTGGCCGGCCTGCTCGTGCACGCATTCGATGGCTGACTGCACCTGCTCAACTTCTGTTCCGTCCCGAGCAGCAGTACCAGTCAAAACTCCGCACAATCGGGTGCCGTCTGCTGAACCATCACAGCTCACCGCATCATCTACGGCAGTTTCGTCACGTACCCAGTCCTTTGGAACGCGGGTGAGGTCGTCCGCGCGGTTCTCTGCTGACGGAACAAGCCGGACGGACAAAGACAGCTGAAACTCCGAGACAAGTTGTCGTATCAAATCCACCCGCCGGCGGATGAGCATCTCACCATGAGCTTTGGTACGCAGACGAGCTCGTCCGCTGAGTGCGTCGCTGATCCATTTGTGCACAGTCGCAGAATCAGTTTGAAGGGCAATGCTCTTCATTCCCCAGGCAATTGCCAGATTCACACCACGGAGAGCAGCCTCTAGCTCAGCCATGTTGATGTGGGTGGATGTGTCTGTTCTAAGCCAGCAAGCATCTTCTACCACCGCACCTTCTGGTGATTCCACCACGACACCCGTCGCGATGGAACTGGCGTCCACCCAGACCGTTGCCTCGTTTCCGGTCACACGCCACGGTCCTCTGGCCGGATCCTCTCTTGTCACCCGGTCCATCACAGACCTCAGTTGCTCCCTGAGAGTAGAGTCTTCTGTGACATCATCCCAGCCACGTGTGAGGGCATTTACTCGTCGTTTCAGCCATGCCACAGCTGGCCGTAACCATCCGCACACTGGAAGGTGTGCAACCAGCTGACCACACCATGCGAAGACCGACCGCCTAGTCAGCTGATCAGGAGGTGGTTCCACTGGGTTGTCGCGTCGCCATCGCAATTCCCCGTCGGCCGACACGGCCACCCGTAAACCGAGCAGACGAGCCCCATCATCATCACCCACTCGCTCAGGCGCCTTGCACGCTAGCCCGAACCTCTTGAAGTGTTCCACCACCTCCGGTGCGCTGAGGACATCTTCATTCACCAACAGATCGTCTGCGTACGGAAGGACTGCTTCCGCCACCCTGGGGTCCTGATCCAGAACGGCACGGATCACTGCTGTCAGGATTTGAGGCGCGCTGCTGTTTCCGAAGCCCAGCCGTGTAAGGGCATACAGCTTTCCATGGACCATCACAGTCTGGAAAGGCCAAAACTGTTCTTCAACATGGAGCTGAAGATAAGCCTTCTTCAAGTCCACAACAGCCACCTTCCGACCGTGACGTCGCCACTTGCGTAACTGATCGGCACAGACTTGCGCATCTGCTGTGTGTGAGTCCAAGTGTGTGTTCAGCTCCCTATAGTCCAATACAGGACGGATCTTGCCCTTGTTTGGCTGTGGTACTGCCATAAGCGGTATCAAGCCACGCGGCGGCCCGTACTTCTCACTGTCATATGGGATCAGCCACTGGTTGTCAATCCACGTTGTCAATTCTTCATCAAATTGCTGGCGATCTTCTTCAGGCACCTTGTATTGCGCTACACGGTTTTTCAACTGATCTGGTCCAGCTCCATCTGCCCATTTCCAAGCCACTGTCCAGACACGCTCTTGCGGATCGAATTTCGCACTGAAGTCTGGAGCGTCCACTTGGAGTGCAGGTCCGTCTGCAGTCGCAGACTTCGTGCTGAGGTCTGCAGCACTCACTTGGGGTGCTGGTCCCCATGCAGTCCCACAGAACCGGACCTCAGTTGGGCGAATCACCGTAATGCCTCCGAGTGCAGCAATTCCAGCCATGCCGATGATCATGTCTGCTCCCATCGGCCGCTCACTTACTACCAACACTTCAACATCAGCATGCTGTCCAGACGGCGTCTGCACTGCCACAGTCCCCTTTCCGCTGCACGTGAACGGGTCACCACTAATCGTCGTTACTGTGACACGCTCTGGACGCCACTGAGTACACACTGGTGAGTAGACTATATTGTCGGTGCAGCCGGTATCGATAAGAACTCGGCACTGTCGACCATTGACCTGGAGCTCCATCACAGGCAAAACGCCGTCTATTGATACCTTGGAGAGGACGGCGGCGCTGATGCGTCTTCTCCGTTTCCGTTTCCCCGCTGTGGACACGTAAAGGAAATGTGTCCAACTACGCCACATATCCAACAGCGTCGTAGTCGATAGCCTTGTGCACCACGTTCCGCTGGCTGATCGTCCTGCTTTGCCTGCTCCCCGACTGATGGAGGAGCTCTGACTGGCGCGTTGCCCATCACTGACTGGCGCGTTGCCTGTCTCGGCGGTGGTAGCCTGCGTGCCGTCTTGTCTGGTGCTGGACGGGCTCGTGCTGCAACAGCGGCCACCACCACTCGCTCATCGCTGAGCACTGCCCGAGAGCGAGCCAACACATCCGCCAAGCTCAGGTCTTCAGCCTTGGACCCAGCTCGGATCGTTTGCCGGGTGGAGTCAGGTAGGCCATTCATGAATGCACAGGCGAGTGCTCTCTCTGGAATTCCGCCAAACAGCCTCGCCAGCCGACGTAAGTCCGCGAGGTACACGTCTACTGATTCGCCCAGCTTTAACTGACGCTGACTGAACGCTTCGTAGGCCGCGTACTGATCCATGGCGAAAGCAGAGAATAATGCGGAGCGTACATGCTCCAATGACTTCCGTTTTTCCACAGGCAGCTGAGCCCACACGGCAAAGGCGCCGCCGGTGAGACGGAGTGGCAGCACGGACATGATTGGCACAGAATTGAGCTCACACAGCATCTCTGTGCGAGTGAACCACTCCACAACATCCTCCGTTCCATCGTACTCTGCGATTAGTCTTGCATCGAAATTGCGCACAGCATAGAAACTTTCACTATTATTTTCACCTTCAGCTGTAACGCCGTGCCGATCGTCCATTTTGTGCCGAAATAGCTTGTAGTTTGTATTTACATCAAGTCTCAATATTTACCCCTTTTTCCTCCTAGCTCCACTCCCCATTTTCCCCTCTGTCATTTTTCCCCTATCTTAATTGCACACTACCAATAGCGTAGGATACCTCCATCATTGCTACCATGCCCGTTTGCAAGGAGAAGGTACCTCCAGCATTGCAGTTACAAACGTGCTACATGCGAAGATACTGAAGCAATTGCACATGTAAGGTACCTTTAAAACCTTTTATCGACATACGCAACGAAGCATCTTGGCACGTACTTTTACCTATAGTCGCCTTCTTAATGATCTAGCCGTCAACTTACCAAAATACATATATCCAGCGGTCTATCTCAGCCATTTGGCGCATCACAGTCACGGTTTTTAAGCATGTTTTTTCATCTGCTCACAGTACATAATGCTCATGCTGGCGATTTCATATTCTTGGTACGCATTGGACTTTGACTTAAGGTGCTTCCAAATGCACACCTACCTACCTACTAACACACAAGTTGATAAACTTCTGTAGGTGCTTCTGTAGGAACCGTTTAATAAAGTGCACATCAAAAACACATTAATCCGAGTTTGTTTGTTTTGTTTGTTTTGTTGGGTTAGGCCCTTTCGGTCCAGTTAGACCATTGCAGAGCCGGGAGGATGATAGGAATTAGGGGAAGACATTGGTCTGGGCAGGCACCCTAGTGAGTCGCCGGGGCTGAGCCCGTCCAAGGACAGGCCACCCAGCCCCAAGGCACTCACTGCACCCGGCTACGGGGTGCGCTCCCTCAGGAGCAGCGGTGCCGCTCCAAGGGAGCAGCCCGCATGAGATAAAGTTGCCTGTCCAGCCCGGAGGGGGGTTGCGGCGTGGAGGAGAAGGATTTCAGTATCCTGAGGATAGAAGCACGGATAGGTGAAATTAATCCGAGTTGATGCCCCCACTTAGATACTCCTCCATTGCCCTCCCTAACGCACTAACATTCACCACCATACTATCTCCCTGCCACGACACAACACTGCCATCTGGTGTCGACACGGCACACTCGACTTTCCTCTTCCCCCGCAGTGGGGCGTCGCGATCGCTGAGTTCCTCCCTGCCCGACGACATGCCTCTAGGACTGTCCTGGAAGCGTATGATGTCCTGATTGGTGCAGACTATCCCTCCGCCTGACCGGCGCACTGTGGAACTCTCCACAGCTGATAAGGACCGAGATCGGGCCCGGATGGAGCCTTCTCCGCTGCTGCTGCCTCCTCCGGAGCTGTCATAGTCACCGACATAGGAGAGGTCACAGTGCCGGCTGCGCTGGAGGGCAACTCGCCGTGACTGAGAGCTGAGTATGGGGACCGGAGCCGAGTCTAGTTTTCGGAGCAGTTGTTTGACCCTCCCGCTGTTCTTGGCGGCAGTGGTGGGTGACTTGATGGTGCGTTGGTCTCCAGTTTTTCCACGGGAGTTTGGTGATCTTCGTCCGCCATCAACTTGATGACGAATGGGACTGGTTGAGCTTTCGTCAGAGTGGTCCCACGTGACGTCATCTGGGCTTGGTTTGACGTCATGTGGGGTTGTGCCGTAGCTAAGAGGTGCCGTGTTAGATGAGGATGTCCCGGGATGTGTCACGTTCTCACAGCTAACTCGACGTACTCTCACCTGACGACGATGTTCCATGACGTCACTAAATCGTCGACAGCGCCCGTTCGGTAGTTTCCTGCAGGCACCGCTAGGCGGCGTTACGATCGGCTGAACGATGGGTCGTGGAAGTTCAGGGGTAGAAGCGGGCGAAACTTCTAACGAAGGTGGCAACGAAGGGCAGCCATCAGCCCTGAATGTAACGCCTCGTTTTCGGACTCTGGGTGCCGTCGGAGGCGTTCTCGTCACTGATTGGTTGACACCGTCCGGGTCAAGGTCATTAGCGCGACTAGAGCGGGCGGAGCTGCTGCGGTGCGCCATTTTGAAATCAATTGCAGAACTGAATTTGTGCCAGAATGGGACGGACAGGAACGCGTTTGAGGAGCGAGGAGATGGGGCATCTCGCTGAATCCTATTTATGTCCATACTTGAAGACGAAGCTTTGATGTCGTGCTGTTGAACTTCATCATCATGCTTGAACACCGATTCGGGACAGCTAGTTTTGCGGTGTGGGTCCGTTTCTTCCCGCTGAAGCTGATTTGGGGTGACGCAGGAAGACCTCTTCTGGGGCTCTGGCGTCTTCGGAGCACCACAGAACTGAGCTAGAGTGTTTACCAGCGCTTCGCGCTTTTCGCCTTTGTTCATTGTGGTGTGTTCACTTCTGAACAGATTTCATTGACGAGGTGGACACCCATTCTCGAAATTCGTATATGCATGGACGGAAGTAAAGTCCGTGTTTACAGGGACGTCCACGTTTTTCGGTGTCACGCCGTTGCCGTTGAATTTTCGACGATGCCCTCTTGACATGACAACAAGCGAAGTTGCCCGCTTGTTACTAGCCCGATTCTGTGCCGAAATTGACGTGTTTAAGGGTAGAGAATTCGACCGACATACATGGACCAAAAAAAGATGTGATAAGGGTGTTTGCATGGACAGTGGGCGGAGCCTAATTTCTCTATGAGTTATTTTCATATATCCATGGACTTGTGGGCGGAGCTTAACACAGTCCATGTAAGCACGGTTTTATTCGCTTACTCGATTCGAAAGCATGAACCCGTTCTAGTATCACCTTTAATCGTGTTTTATCGCCATTAGATTGTATGTCATGCGCGTAATTTAACCCTCGCCAGACCTATTGTTTTTCTACATACCGTTGGTACGACCCCCTCACCTTTTCGGCCCTAATAAATAACCTGAACTCATGTGACCTTTAGGAAAAATCCGAGATGTACAAGTTGTGAGGCCTCTAGATGATATTAGCCATTAGGCACTGTAAGTTTCATCTCCCTTTGAAAGCTCCTCTGGCACTGAGAGCGTTGCGAAGCTGCGACATTTTAGGACAGTGCACATGCTCACTTTGTCGTAGGTCATTGACTTGACCTGACCTGAAAATGCGGATGATGTCACAAGATTCGGGTTGAATCAAATGTCAGGTATGCTAAGGTCCAGCTCTATCTCCAGCGTGTCCCGAGCTATCGCAAAAAAAAATATAAAAGGCGCGGCGCTCACCCCCCCCCCCCCCTACCATTCGGCCGGCGAGCGTTAGTTAAACCGCGCCTGACAGGGAGGAGGGCTATTTAGAGCCCCTCCCCCTCCCTACACACTATACACAAACATATAAACACTAAAATGTGTGTGCAAATTTTATATAAAAAATGTGTGGAGATCTGATGATTGTTCGGAATGATGAACTCAAGTGAAGCGTGAATTGTCGGCACCGATCACCCCGTCAAAGAGCAAGAAAGTAGCTGCTAAAGAGTTAAATGAGGTCATATCACATGGGCATGAATACACTTACTATCGACTGGTCGAATTATTGAAATGTATTGCTTAAGTCTCGCTCAGCTTCTAAATTCTGCAGAACAGAAAAGACTCGGTTGATTATTGTTGCGAGATACACAGATGAGTTTTGAAATAAGAAAAAAATGGAACGCTTCACACTATATATTATCAAATATCAGCCACGCAAGTCAGCATGAATGATCAAAGAATGATATTACCTGGCGAACTGAGGGCAAACAATTGCATAATTTTAAGCCAGCTGATAATTATTTTCTTCGCGGTGAAAGGTAATCCGCCTATGTGATTGCGTCATACCGCCGCTCGTCAGGTCCGCATGAACCGGGCCAGGTCATTCGTTCGCGCGCCACCAGCGCGAGCGGGCGGCGAATGCCGAGCGCATCAGTTTACATAACAACTTTGCACATGTTGAGGCGGAACAAGTAAATCCGCTGCCACAGACGAGGCATCTTTGTCACCACGCACCTTCATGAATGTAGACAATTAACATGAGTGTATGCCTAAACCTTGAACATGAATCTCGAGCCGCAGTCAACGGCCGCAGAGCGCATATTCTGGGCGGGCACGCACACGCGGCGGCTGCCGACTGTGCGCGCGCGTGGGGCGGTGGCACCAGTGGACGGGCGTCTAGCGTGCGCGTGGCGGCATCGGCACCGGTAGACGGCCGTCTTGGCGCGCGCGCGGCGGCGGCGGCGGCAGCGAGCGGCTGTCTTGGCACGCACTCGTCGGCCAGCTGGACGGAGTCAGAGCAGCCAGATTCACCAACCGGAACTGACGGTGTTCCGACGCAGCGTCTTCAGTACGGCCAGAGACAGACTCGTCCAGCGCCTCAGTCTCCTCCGTCTGGCATCACACAGGGGTGGGGCTGGGTTAATACAGGCTGACACGGGGAGTAGTTAGGTTTAATACCGATCTGGCAAGAGAGAGGGTACTGGGTCAAACACTGAGCTGACACAGGAGGAACGGCTGGGTCGAACACCGAGCTGACAAGGGGTGGGGGCTGGGTCAAATACCGACCTGACACGGGGAGGGGTCTGGGTAAGACATCAGGCTGACACAGAAGAGAGGTTAGATCGAACACCGAGCTGACACGTGGGAGTAGTTAGGTCTAATACCGACCTGACACGATGGAGGGGGCCGGGTCAAACACCGAACAAACACGGGGAGAGGGCTGGGCGAACACCGAGCTTTCAACGCATAGGCGGTTACTCGACAGGCCGAAAAGGGAATGTCAGAGAGTGAGTCACCACAGGAGCTAATGCAAAAGGTAGCTGATATTAGGAAAGATAATTACTGACGGCACGGACACGGAAAAAGTCCAAGCTAGTAGTACGAGACACTATAAAGTATCACAAATTACCAAGAACACGTCGCTGGCGGTTCATGGTACGGCACATAATTGCCGCACAACTGCTATACGAGGCTCGGGAGACCGATTCCCCGCTGACCCTGCAGATGCACTATCAGCCAAGCCAGTTCAACAGCCATATCAGAGCGACCATGACGTACATAGCTTCCATCGGTACTCCCCCCCCCCCCACCTAGTACCCACCTGTTCAGTATAATCAGCTGAGATGTGGATCAGCGGCCGCCCTGCCCGCAGGTGCGCATCTCTGGGGCCGCGGCCACCGTCAGCTGTTGTGTTGTCCCCAAAGCTGCCGCCGTAGCCAAAACAAGGCTCTTGTGGGCCTCGTAGCCGGCGACCAAGATCGCCACCATGTCGTCGCGTTCGACATCGTGGGCCGCGCCGACGATGTTTCCCCGCGCACGGAGCCGGAGGCCGTAAAAGCACGGACACTCCAGCAACACGTGCGCCTAATTGTCTGCTGCTTCGCCGCAGACCAGGCAGCGGCCTGTTGGACATTCGGTGTCACTGCTGACTGCACTGAGCGCACTCGGACGTTGGCCTTCTTTCAATCCGTTGGAGATGCTGCCCCGATCATCCCCAGTGGCCCGACCAGCGCTGATAAGTGTAACAGCCTTCTCCCTGGTAGCAGCTCGGACCGGGGCGGGGGCGCCGTGAGCTCCGCGCGCACACTGGAGCAGAAGCGGCCCGCCGGGACCCATATGTCCCAGTCGTCTCCATCTGGTGGCGGCTTGGACCGGGGCGGGGGCGCGGTGAGCTCCGCGCGCGCACTGGAGCAGAAGCGGCCCGCCGGAACCCGTATAACCCAATCGTCTCCATCTGGTAAGCGGAGCAGGGAGCCGCCGCCGCCAAACCATCCTCCGCCGGCCCGTCCGAACAGATCCAGACGGCCTCATCCGGCAGCTCCCGGATGCATTCCTCCGCGCAGCACGGCCACTACAGATGCTGCGAGGCTGGCCCGCGGGCCGACTGCCGTCTGGACGCGCGCGCGCAACGGCGGCGCCAGCGAGCTGCTGTGTAGGCACTCGCTCGTCGGCCAGCTGGACGGAGTCAGAGCAGCCAGATTCACCAACCGGAACTGACGGTGTTCCGACGCAGCGTCTTCAGCACGGCAAGAGACAGGCTCGTCCAGCGCCTCACTCTCCTCCGTCTGGCATCACACAGGGGTGGGGCTGGGTTAATACAGGCTGACACGGGGAGTAGTTAGGTTTAATACCGATCTCACAAGAGAGAGGGTACTGGGTCAAACACTGAGCTGACACAGGAGGAACGGCTGGGTAGAACACCGAGCTGACAAGGGGTAGGGGCTGGGTCAAATACCGACCTGACACGGGGATTGGACTGGATCAAATTTAAGACGTTTCTGTCACTGGCGGTGGACCTGCGCGTCGCCCTCCCCGTCGGCGCCCACCTTCGGGACCACGGCCGTAGCCAGCTCGGTCAGCTCCAGGTCACCCTTGACATTCTATAGCTTAATCTGAACACCAGAACACACAGGTCAGGTCAATTATCAGTATTTTGAGTAAATCAATAACATTTTACCAGTTTCCCACGCATTTACTTTGATGCACCGTAAGAAGCGGCGGTTGCTGTGCACTAACGTTTTCCCTGTAACTACCCCCCCCCCCCCCCACACACACAGGCCTGTACCTTCCTGCCGTCCTCTCTTCAGTTCTAATGTGCGGGTTCCCTCGTCCGTAGCAAGCCCCCCCCCCCCCAGACCCGACACACCTGTATCCGATGGGCGTCCGAGCGCGAGACTATTGGTGATGGCGATGGCGTCGCCTGCATGAGCGCGCGCGAACAGCTTTTCTCTGGAATCCCTTGTGCGCTGAAGGTTCATTTTTCTGGAGGTCGCATCCTGCAACGAGGAAAAAAATGTTAAAGAATAGCAAAATCCCAAGGGATGATGCATTACTTACCTATGTGGCGGGCATCACCATACAGTTATGAAAATGCCATCAACATTTAACTCTGTCAAAATGGAAATATGGCTTATGTGACCTGCATCACTATGTTGTCATGAAAATGCCATCAAAATTCAAACATGACCATTGACCTTGAGTCTGAGTAGGTATCTTTGTACCGGTCATGAGCTGAGTTTCTGCTTAGCCTGAATACTCTGAAACTGGGCTTCAGTCTCTTGGGCTCGGCCGGGCTCTTTGACAAAAGCTTATCACATGAGCAAGTCTCTGACTGAACCGGTCAGCGGTCTCTTCAACTCAATGTGCTATAAATTGAAAATTTTGATGGAAAACAACACGCAGTTCCATTGATATTTCACTTTTTTGGATCATTTACCTTTCTGTTCTCACAAACCGGAGCTGAGTTTTACATAGGCGTGGGGACAGGGAGAAAGGGGGCGACCGGAGGGCCATGCCCCCCACTTTCGGAGGTGGGGGGGGGGGGCAGCAATGTTAACTCCCCCCACTTTTTGATGAACTTTTGCGCCTGTATATACCACTCGGCACCCTGAACAGTGAACACCAAAACTTGACGATTCTTCAGGTTCGGCTTCCCTTCGAAATTCGATGAAGATTTCCTTTTGTATCTACAGCGTTAAAGTTAATGAGCGCAAATTTCCTTCACTCAATGTAGAAAACCATATCGGAAGCAACAAAAGAGAGGTCTGTTGGCAATATTTCGTTGAATACGAGGCGAGGCGTATGATAGCAGTGAAAGAAAAGATTAGACAACAGTGGCCAGAAGACCGAAAAAAAACATGCTTTGCTGCAAATAAAATAAAAATAAATCTGCTTTGCTGAGCCGAACGCATTGGAAATTGCAGATGCTTTCATCACACTGTCATCATCATGTCTCCATCAAAAGTTACTGTCAAAAACTTATGGTGAGCATTGGTAAGATTTCTGGTGACCTCTAGGCTCTACAGTCTACAGGCTTCTGCACACACTGCTAGGGGCCATGCTGGTCATTGAGGAGCCACGCTTGTCAGTGCCCTTACGCCGGTCTCTAAGAGCTCCAAGTGGTCGATCTCTGAGGATCCCACGCAGTCTTTGGAGGCTTCACGTCGGCCCCCTGGTTCTTAGGTCATTAAGGACTAAGCTGGTCCATTTCAAGCCTCAGCAGTCAGTATAGGTCTAAGAGCCTCAGGTCGCCCTAACGGAGCCAATATCGATCTCTTAGGGGCCTTTGCTGGTTGAGAGCTGATGCCCTAAGCTTTAAGAGGTCCCAACTCGAGTTATGACACCTGCTCTGGCCCCTGATGGCTCCATGTCGTCCTCAGAGGCCTCACTCCGACCTCTGAGGTCTCATGCTGGCCTTTGAAGGCCCCATACGAACAGATGAACCCATGCTGGCCTCAGGGCCCTACGAACGATGGCCTTAAGAGGCCTGTGCTGACCTCATGGAACCCAGGGAACATCTAGAAGCCTATGCCGGCCTTTGAAGGCCTCGTGCCGGCCTCTAAGGGTCTTCTCCGAGGGCCCAGTTCTGCATAAGCATAAGGGCTTAAAACGGCTGACGAGGTCCTCGAGATGGCCTCTGATGGTTTCTGAGGGCTTAGCCGTCGGAGGACCGAGGAGAGCAATTAGATGCATCGAGAGTATTCCGATAGGGTTTTGGTAGAAGGGATGCAACTACCTGACATAATGACATAAATGACCGTGAATTGATCGACCTAGCGGCTGCGGAGATCTCTAAAAATAAGCCTCCAGGCTCTAAACAAGCCTAAAAATACATCACTTGAGCGGATCAACATTGACACCCATGACTTTCCACGTGGCACGGCAAGGGCCGGGCCGGAAGTTGCGGGGTCACAAAAATAGGTGGAGCGGTGTGTTCGAGACTGGCGGGTGCCAGCGAGGGCCGGGCAGCGGAGCAGCACGTGCTCCAGGACATAAAACTCTTCTCGGCACACGGCGCAGAGCGCCGCGGGGCACCGCTTGTCCAGGCACTGTTGGCATGCCGCGGAGGGGAGACGGCCGATTTGGAGCGAGCGGCCCCAGTGGCCTGCCCTCATGTGGTGCACCGAAACGGCGTCCCCCCGGTCCTCTCAGAGGATAGGGACTGCTGCGTGCTCCCGAAGAGTGGCTTGAATAGTGACTCGGACCAGTTGCTGCACCATTGACGCGAGGCCTCCCGGCGTCCCAGAAGACCCTGCTAGGAGCCGCCATCTGGACCGAACTAGCGGCCCTGGCCGGTCCGTCCCGCCGGATCCACCTGCAGTGGGTGCCGTCCCATTGCGGCGTCGACGGTAACGAGCGCGCCGACCAAATCGCCAAGGAGGCGGCCGCGCTCCACCAGGCGGCGGTCCCGGTGGACGTCGCTACCGCCCACCGTGCGGCCGTCAGAATGGCCCGCGACCGCACCACCGCCGCCTGGCCGGAGGGCTGGTACCGGACCCTGATGGGGAGCCGGCTGCCGCTACCGGTCGCGACGGGGGACAGATCGTCGGCCGTCGACGTCCACCAACTTCGCGCGGGCCAGTGGTCGGGCTCCCGCCAATACCTCCACCGGATTGGACGGAACTCTTCCGAAGATTGCCGCCAGTGCCCTGACACCGACTGTGCGGCGGGCCGGTGCACCGTGTGCCGGGAGGAGGCCGACACGCCCCGGCACCTCTTCTTCCGGTGCCCGGCCCTCATGGGCTGGCGTCTCCGGAGGTACGGGACGATTTTCCCGAGCCCGGAAGACGTCCGCGACGACGGAGAGGTGGCGGCCCTAGCGGCCGCCGTGAGGGACCTCCAGAGCCGCACGGCTACACCGCGGTAACGCGGCTGGAGGGAACAACAACAACAAAAACAAGGCCGCACAATGAACCGCCCGGGTAGCGAGCGGGCGTCCGAGGGCGGGGCGACCGCTTGTTTCGCCACGTCGTCCGTGCTCTCATTCCCCTCGATACTGCAGTGGGCAGGAGCCTGGAACCCACTGCAGGATTACTTCACGACGCTCGGCCATGCTTAACAAGGTCTTCCATGCCTATCTCCGCGCCGAGGGTGGAGGCCTCACCCGGGCGGAAGCTCCTCCCCTGAATAGACTCAGGGCGGCTCGCAAGTCGAAGCACAGGACGACCGAGGTGGGGGACGTCTCATCCCAAACCCTCTCCAGAGCCGCCCGCAGGTGAATCTGTTGCTAGACTGACAAGCGTGGCGAAAAATTCGGTGACCGCCATTCGCCGAAAAAATCTGCGGCCGCCCTGCGCCGAATTAAGCGGCCGCCATGCGCTGAATTCGGCGCATACGAAGTTACGCCGGAGCTGAAATTTTCGGCGCAATCCCCGCCACCACGCCGGACATATTCAGCATCACGCGTATTTTTTTCCAGTCTGACAACAGGAACGGAAAAATTATCGTCATTTGATGTTTTAACTGGATGAATTGCTTTGAAATGTCCAAGGAAGTGGCCCTTGAAAGCCGCTCTTCTGTAAAACTAACTGGCGCAGTTTCGAAGCTACTACTTGACAGTTGCCACAGCCAAGTTGATTTCAATTTTCAAACTCAAGGACGACTTTACAAATCCCAAATTTCATTCCACAGGTTCCACTTCATTTTAATTTTCAAATTTGCAGAATTTTAGCTCAAATTAGGTAGGTTGATGTGGTAGGTATAGATTGATATTTGTGGTTCTCATTGCAATGTCAACCTGCAGATTTTACAGCATTAAATGTTTCTGCTTTTTATGACACAGATGCTGGGTGAAGATGAGTAAATTCACAAAAGAGAGGAAACACTTTGACCAGAGCATTGCCATGGACATTCACCTAAGTTACAAGCTTGCATTTCATACAAGGCTATTGTGCCTTTTCAGTAACAGCAGCAGGTCAGCAAACTCATCCACCAACTGTGCCCCTGCAACTGGGGGAAGCAGGGAAATGAAGTGTGACTAATGGTTGGTGACAAAGCCTATCTATTCATCTGAGTCTGTCTCAGCTGAGTCTATATGGGTGGAAGCACTAATAGTTATGCAATGTCTGTTATTGTTATGAGGTAAAACAGTAGCTGCAAAGTTGGATTATATACATAATACATACCTATGAGGCAGAATAAAAGAAATCTGCCAAGTTAAATGCAAATAATTTTATAAAAAGGTAAATATCATCAACCATGGTGATCAACCATGTCTCTGAATATAGAAAATTGACAGATGTCAAAGCAAGGTTGTCAAACAGCACAGCTGCCACATACCAAAACTACTCTATTAATTCAGATTTAAAAATGGATACATCCTGCAGCCATAAATGATCACATTGATACATGCTTATGCAATCTCCAAATTAACATTTCCATACAATGTCCAGCAAAAATCCGCAGCATAGGTACCTATCAAAATTAGGTGCCGGGGACCCCAAAAGCCTTAAAACTATCAATCGACACCACAGGCAGAATTTGAGGATTTTATAATTTATAAAACAATGTATGATTTTTCCCCTTTATCATAAAGACCACAGGCCAGCCAATGACCATGTGCAACAACGCAATTGGACAGTGATAAAACTTAACTCTATATGCCTCTGGAAAAAATCACATTTTCATTGCTCTAATCTACTCTGGATATTACCTTTAAAAAAATGAGCCAAGATGGTCTAGAACCCTACCAACCAGGACTTCGGAAATGGCATTCGGAATTATGTCTAGTGTACCTACTACACATGGCTACAGTTTATTATTTCTTGACAATAAAATGGCTAATAACATTTTCTTTTGTAATCAGATAGATCAGCACCACTGATAGGTAGGCAATATAACATCTATATATAAAAGTAAAGGAACACTCAGTAGCTGGCAACGCTGCAGACCTGTGCCGTCTGCAGTGTTAAACTTTGTGACTCTGCGTTAGAGGTTGGTAAATTGATTGATTTTCCCCAAATATTCCAAACTGACTTTGGAGCATAAGCAAGATAATGCTGTTCTTGCAACAAAACTAGATTTCAAGGATTCATAACTGTGACTGTGACTGTCTTGAGCAGGCTTAGCTCAACAGCCCCTATTTCAATTTGTGTACAAATATAGAACAGCATGTCAATATATTGACTGTGGTAGTCTATTTATTATAGGGAAAAGGTCATCTCATTCAAGCACAGGAAAATCAAGCTTGACAAACATGACATGCCTAAATCTAATGCTGTGGCCATGCTCTTGGGCTTAGAAAAGTGGGGCAACAATACAAAATACAAAAATACATAGTAGTATGCCATACAGCCGAATGCTTACCTTTCTCTTTCCACCCATCGTTATCCACAGTCGCCTAGAGCACAATCCAAACGCCAACCAAACGCGACACGACTCTTCCAACACAGAAAAACGCACATGGAAATTGCCGCGAGAACTTTCTCGGCGCCGCCGATGTTGCTTACCAACGGCTTCAAGCCTTGCAACAGCTGACGATTAGTGAGAACTGACTTCTTTTCATGGACGACCAATCAGAACCGGTCTTACAAAAATGCCAACCAATCAAAATGTCGCTCTAAAAGGGCGATGCTATCGCCACGTGGTGGTGAAAAAACACACTAATCTAGGATAGCATTTTACGTAGGAGTATTCCCAAGGACGAACGGGCGCGTCCATGCATTTCGGATGATTGGTATATCGCTTCATCGTCCATGATAATGCCCGAAACTGCTATTAGGAATTCATGGACAACGAGACGTCCATGCAATCCCAGCCGTCCACGTTAATACCCCAAAAACCGCAAATTGTCCATGGGCTTACAACATTTCAAGCACTTGCAGATATAAACGTAAATCATTGAGTTTTTATGCACAAACAGCACGGTACAATGGAAAGGGTCAATTACTTATCATAAATGCCCTTTACATTCAAAGTTTTGCCACGTTTCCGTGTTTCTGGACGTTTCACGGTTGTAAATTTTCCTTGCCGTGAAAAAGTTCAGTTCAGTCTTCAGCAATGGTGCCCGTTTCTCCTGAAGCGAAGCCACCTGCAACAAAGAAACACAAAATAAACGTTTAGTGCTATGGTGGCGCGAATCATTTCGAGTAGGTAGTCGTATGTGTCCCCAGTGCCCACCTACAACATATAAGCAGATTGCTTTTGCCCATACTTTTGGCCGTCTGAGAATAAAAAAGGACGATAAAAAATCGCCTTTGGCCATCTTCTGGTAATAGAAAGGACTGACCTCTTATCATTACGACTCCTTCCCGAGAAGGCTCAAGAAATGTTAACTCACATTGCAAGCAATCACGTGCCTCAGCTCACTTCATGTAGTCAGATGCCTATCTAATAAACCGTCACGTCAGGGGTATGAGCAATAAAGCAGCAATACGCCGTCTCCCGGGAGCACTAAGGGGCCACGCAGAATTTCATTAACTTGGGCCGTATATTGGTAAGATATTACACAGCGGAGTAAATGTCGTTCAAGAAATGGTGTTCGTAGCGGTATGGCACGGTAAATATGGCATACATATGACGGAATAATTTGCTGCCGATGAGAACTACTAACTTGAAACTGAAATATTGTGTACTCTTTATTCACACACCTGCAATAAGAAAACTGGGATGAACTCTAGACAGCGATTATCGGTGATACAATTCATCCCATAAATGCGCATGTTTTTAGGCATACACTCATTTCTCGAAGACAGTCGAACTAAGGTGTACCTGTACGTAATCGTTAATATATTGACTGTTTCTCGTCTCAGACAAAGCTGCTTATCGTAAAAAGCTGGAAGTCCTGCTTGAGCGCTGCTTATCTCAGTGTTCCGTAAGTTATATTGTCTGACTGCTCGGCTGTGAATGGTCGAATGTTCTAAAGAAGCAAAATAATTTGCCAGGTTAGGTATCACTTATGTCCCATTTCAAAAGGTCGCCTTTGACACCAACCAGTTTTAATTTTTAATGCTGCCAAGACCACTGCCACCAAGCTCAATAGGACACGATTTGTAAAAAGTTGATCGTAAATGTCAAAACCAGTCAATGAAAAATCATTAATTTGACGATGCGCCTGCTGTATCGATAGCTGCACACATCAAACCCGGATATATGACTAGCAACAGGATGTTTGTCCCGTTGAGAAAAGTCGATCCTATTGCAGACATCTTCAATTTATCTGCGAAGTGCATTCATAACTGTCCTGACATACTAACCCCATAAATATTAACTATTCAATGCTCATTAGGGGGAACATGTCCGTTAGTTTAACATGTGTAGTATTCGACGGTATTTCCTCTGCGTTGCCTTTTTCGGAAAAGGTAAAAGGTCTTTTTTAGGAGTCTTTCAGAAGAAAACTAAGAGACCTAGGAAAATACGCCACTCTGAACCTATTTTTAGGACCGCACTTCTATCACTATATAGACGCAACCCATGACCGACTGCGCAGTAGCAATGGAGCGCACAATGTCCTGTTCCCGGCTCTGTAAAAAGACATCAATATGATACGGACGCCCAGATAGTGCCGCGCCGTGACCCGCGTGTAATGAGGGTTATCGGAGCAAGTCGGAGTCACGTCAAAAACATTGACCACCGTTCCCGGACTCCGATAATGGGATGCAATATTTGTGTCTACATTTATAACTCCCAGAAGGCACCCTCCTGTGCTTTGAGGCAGAGAGAGCGTCGCGAGCAATTTCTAGAGACGGACTTACTTGCGCGTGGGTGATGCGAATATGTCTCACGCACGATGCGAACGCTCTTTGAAGTTGTTCACTCGTCCATTGAATCATTTCCTGATTATTAGAGTCTTCAGTGTGCGGCGTTCTTTCAAGCAGTCAGCGTGATAGGTGAACGACAGAGAAACAGTAATGACTTCCTGAAGGTGAAGCGTGTGGGTAGAATGGTTGTTAGTTATTTGGAAACTAGTAAATCATGCGATTTACCTATTGAGTACTCGCGCACTTGCTTATGATGATTTATGCGTGAATCTTATCGGCAGACTAGGTTGGTACTTGGTAGGTAGATAACAGGTACGGAAAAGGCTCACTTATGAATTGATATTTCTGCTTTCCGTCAATTCGTCCAGATTCGGATGGTCTGGCTAAAGAAAGTTAGGTAGGTACTAACACGGTTTCCAAAACCTGCACATTGCCTCGAGTTTCCGAAGACCCCTTAGATGGATGGTTAAAAAAAAAACGAAACCCTAAACTTTCCGTCATTACCATACGGTGACCAGTAATGAGCAAAATATGAGACTCTCCTTGCTCCTGCGAGAACCCAACAGGTGGTTGCTTAGCAACGACTGCTTTATTTTACGCAGGGATCAATTAGGTCAGCGGCTATCGGAAGCTCGTTAGCACGTGAGATCGTGCTAACCAGTGTTTTGACGCACAGAAGGGGTTAGCCTCTGCTTGACGCTAATGGTACTCGTGTTGGGGGGGGGGGGGGGGGTGAGTCAGGGGGAGTCCGGGGCTGCCGCGAGCTAACAATAGTAGGGATTAGTCTCGCACGAGCACAAGCCCAGGCTTAGGTGACGCATGCGAATAGCATTTACCTAGTGTTTGGTCTTCGTCGCATATAAAGTGCACTACCGTCGCTCGTCGCACCCCGATGACGCAGTTCACAGCGTGATGAGATAAAATAGGATTACGTCGCTTTCCCAAGCATCATTGAAACTTAAATGCATCTGTAAACGGTATTCAACAGAAAATAACTATCATCCGGTGCGTATTTGGGAGATGAGGCGTGGATAACTGCCCCGTGCGGCTACGGTCATAAACTATGCATCTTTGAGGCCGCATCGCGGAAGTCTTTGATGAAATACCTTATCAGTCATTAAATCTAAGGTTAAAGGGGTCTACGATTTGTGAGCCAGATAGTAGACATGCATCTTCATGGTGCGTCGCTGCTTCACTAAAAACGTTCACAATCGCATATGATGATGGTCACTCGAGAAGAAGCGGTCAGGCGCAAGTAGCTCACGGGAGTTAATGGCGTTAAATGTATAGTAAATTAGCACAGTTATTAGCTATGCCTGCTTATTCGTAAATGCTTCAGGATGTACCAAGATCCCTACGGTTGCACTTCTTCGTGCGTATCTTCCCATGATATGGAACGTATCTCATATAATACAGCATGTTGTACTTCTCAATAAAATAAAGGATAGGACACCGGTCATGATCCAGCGTTATCCATAGCTGCGATATCTAATAAATGGCCTCAGGAATTGGTTAGCGGGCAATAGCGCCTAGCGGGCAATTTCCCCGACATAACGACCTCAGGGTAAATGCTGATGAAACGTGTTATTGTCCTCGGCTACCCTTTGGGAAATAACAAAGTATTCCCCCTGGGGAAATACTGGTGCCACATAAGACGTCATTTTCCTGCTGTTTGATAGATACTCCCCATCCCATAGCTGCATTTGCAAGCATTCCTCAAGCCTCACGGTCCCCGACTTAGAGAACACTTTTATGGATCGCCCTTTAGGGAACACGGTGGCAAACATAAAGGCATTCTTGTGCCTGAGCGCATTAGGTAATAGGTACTATTTTATATCACCTTTTAACGGTCAAATATCTTTCAAGAAACCTCAATTGCCTAGAGAGTGACCAAAATCACCAAAAAACACGAACATACATTGACAACAGAAACACATTAGACAACGAGCACACATTACCTATACTGGTAGCCACTAGCCAATATAATACCTGAATGCGCAGGCTCCTGGCTGGTGTGTCGTTCTCCACTGAGCCCTCCAAGCCCACCCGTTGGACGCGTTGGTCTCCTCTCGTCTCCGGCGTGTGTCGAATAAGACGTCGGTGCCGATGTTAGATACATCGTCGGTGGTGACGTTGGAGGCATCGTCGGTGCCGATGACGTCAGTGAGATGGTAAGATGCCGACGATAGAGATAGAGGTCCGTAGGGGAGGGGGTAGAGGGGTACGGAGAGAGGAAGATAGAGGGACAGTAGGGAGAGGGGGCGAAAGGAAGAGAAAATGCAGGGAGGGGCTAGGGAGTGAGGGAGGGAAAAGTTTCAGGGAGAGAGAGAGAGAGAGAGAGAGAGAGAGAGAGAGAGAGAGAGAGAGAGAGAGAGAGAGGAGAACGGAAGGAGAGAGGAGGGAGAGCTGATACGCGCTCAGTCACGGCATGTCTACTACATGTTATCATTAGACATGAGGCAGAGCATAGAAACAAGCACCGGACATCAAAAATGCTGTCCGGTGCCCGTTATGGGGTCCTTTGCCCCCGGCTGGATACATTAGTGCCTTTGTTTTGCAGGTATGTGAACACCAAACCAATGAATGTGCTTACCCGAGTAGGTTTAGTCGTGTTACACGGCGGCAATGTCAACTACTGCGCCCGTGGAGCATAGGCGGCGGAACGGGGAGGGCACCGGGGCACCGCGCCCCCCTTTGATTTTGGCATTTTAACATTAGCCCTATGGGCGTTGCATGGAAAGAATGGGACCAAAAGTCGGCAGTGCCCCCCCCCCCTTAATTGAAGGTGTTCCGCCGCTACTGCCGTGGAGTCTGGAGATGTTTTTCATAGCCATCGATTGCATCAGCTTCGTCTCACATCCATTAGTGATTGTCAGACTCATGATGCCCAGATGGTGACTACCTATATATGTG